AGGCGAACGCGGGAGGCGAGCGCGGGAGGCGAACGCGGGAGGCGAACGCGGGAGGCGAGCGCGGGAGGCGACGCCTCGCCGTTTTTCTGCTGTGCAGCCGGCCCCCGCCTTGACGCCAAGTTTCGGGGCGCGAGACGTGCGCTGCCGCACCCGTGAGGTACAGTCTCGGCGGCGAGCGAGGGAAGGCTTTCAGAGAAGGCGGCGGGGGACTTTTCAGAAGCCTGCGCGCCTTTGAGGAGGTTCTCGTGTCTTCGGGGAAGGTTCAGACAACTTTTCACAAGGCCCGATGGCCTCCGAGCCTTTGAGAAGGCCCGCCCTTCCCCGCTTCCCTCTAGGTTCGCTTCCGATTAAAGCAGGCGGGCCCTGCCAAATCAACGGTGCCCTTGCGTGCTGTGTTTCGCGACCCATGTTTATCTACGTTCCTACGGCAATGTAGCCGCAGCCCACGGTCTCGTGTCCTCTCGCGTGTCCTCTCAAACAGCTTGGGGTGTAAAGAGGAGCCTTGCGCGGAGGGCCTGCAGGCCGCCCGCCAGCATGCTACGCTCCATGCGCGGCGCAGTGGGCTCTTCTGTGGTCTGTGGCGGTCCGCGCCTGCGGCGTGCTGCAGCCTTACGTGGGACATCGTGCTGCCGCCTGCAGCGCCTGCCCGGCGATTCCACCAGTGCTCAGGGGAGGAACAGGTACGGATACCGCCGCCCTTCCGCCGGCGCGGATAGGACAGAACTTGTGAGGTGAGGAGCCGTCGGACATGGAGGGTGAGGAGGAGGAGGAGGAGGAGGAGGAGCAGCAGCACAAACAGGAGCAGGAGCAGGAGCAGGATCAGAGGAGATGAAGGTACCGGTGTCGCTACCTTTTGCTTGTTTTCGCCGTTTTGGGCCTGCCGGGAGGCCCTCGTCGCCACGGCTGGATTCGCTTGGAAATTCTGGCCAGTCTGCACCCCAGGAGAGGTCCGTGGAGCAGCGGTATGGGTATTTTTTGTTCCTCCCAAGTGTACCGTGCTTTCCCGCGGCGGATCACAAGCGCGCCGACGCAGTCACTGAAGTGGCCTGCCAAGGGCCTGTCTCGCCACGGGAGAGGCCTATCTGCGCGGGGCCGAGGGCAGGGCGTGTCTGTCGAGGCCCAGTTCTGGCAGAGCTCATCCATCCGCCCCCCCCCCCCTCTGAAACGTCCATGCGAGGTCCCCTCGCGGGCCAGCGGCCCGCGGGTTCTGGAGAGTAGCGCCCATCGCTCCCGTGGGTCAATTTGTTTGTTCGCCCGGTGGGCATGCGCGCGACTCTGGCAGGGGTAGCGCCCTCCGTGGATAGCTACCTTTCGTTTCTGGCTTTAGTCTCGGTCGCGTCGTCCTGGCAGCGCCCGTCAGCTGCCAGGGCGTTCGTCGGATTGGTGCGTTGCCGGCGCGAGGGCGGCTTCGCTGTCAGCCGACGAGACGAGGACGACGACGTGGGCTGGGAGGGGGCTGGCCCCGGCATTCTCTTTGGATGGAGGGCAAAGGGTGGAATCTGCAATGCCGTTTCGATGGATTTTCGAGGCTTGAATCTGCAAAAGGCGAATCTCAGAGCGTGCATTACCTACCCCGCTTTCGCTTCCAGACAAAACCAAGTCATACCACGCGACTCCTCGTCAAGCGGCCTGACCAGTACAGGCCGTAGTTTGGCATCGCTTGGTATCTCTTGGAAGCGAGGGTGATCAAAAGCGAGGTAGGTTTGTTTGCCCCCTAGAATCATAGGACGGATTGAGTTTCGAGGTGCAGAAGCCCACATGGAGATGCTCAGCCAGCGCGCGCCGTGCTGCCGCTCCGGGCGCAGCCGTGGGCGGGCCGCCGGCGGCGCGTGTGCCGCCCCACCTGCGGCGGGTTTGGTCGGACGGGGCCGCGACGATCGGGCCAGTCCGTTCCCAGAGCGTGCCGGAACGCTCCCCCAGAGTGCTCCAGACCCTCCGCGAATCGGGGGCGGAAAAGAGGGGTGATGACTAGGGGGGGTTGAATATCATGGCGGGGGCCATGATTTTTCCCCAGATTTCATGGCGCCTCTTCTTATTTCATTACGTCCCTGGCCTCCCCGCTGGGCCGCGCACATGCCGCCGGTCATGATTTGCACCCCCCCCTCTTGGACACCCCCCTCTTGGCCGCTCCCGAGCGAATCGGCGGTGGACAGACCTCCTACCCTAACACGTCGATTTTTGGAATTTGCCGTTCTCGGTTCGCGAGAGGGCGTCGCGGCCATCATTTTTGCGGGTTCAGGTGCGTCGCTTTCGGTCCCAGGCTGTTTTCATTAAGGGGAGGTTTACTGAAGGGAGGTTTGTCCACCGCCGAGAGAAGACCGCGGCGCCCGAGACAGTCACTAGAGCCGCCGGATCTCACAGGTTCTCGAGCTGCCCTCACCCGATTTTGTCCTCCTCCTGGCTTCGTCTTCTGGAGGGGGGCGGCCGCCGCCGTGCCTGGGGCAATCGGTGCGTCGCAGCTCGGCCGCGCCGGGCCCCCTCGGCAGCTGGGCTGTTCGGCGGGCGTCTCCTCGGGGTCGCGCCTCCGCCCTTTGCAGGCCAGGGCGCCCAAGGAGATCGTCGGGCGGCGGTCGCAGGACTGCGCCAGGCGAGAGGTCCGCGGCTGCATCCGCGAGCCGCGGTTGCACCCGCACGACTTTCGAGCGACGGTTGCATCCGCGAGCCGATCTCGCGGCGCAGCTGCGTGTGTTGCGCCGACGTGGTGTGAGCGCCTCGCTCTCAGAGGGGCTGCGCCCGAGTGCCCTCCCGCCCCCCGGGGCGGCCGTTCTCTTCGTGTATTTTCCCCCCATACATGTATTTTCAAATTTCTAGATGGGTTATAAACTTGCGTGGGCCAGTGTACAGCGTCATGTATTGAAGATGACCGCTGAGCCACCAGGCGTCCGTATTTGCAGCTCGTCCTGCCTTCCTTACGCTTGTCGGTTCTCCGTGAACGCGTTCGTGCTTGCATTGGGACCGTCTGAGGCGTGTTGCCAGATGTGAGCCAGTGCTTTCACATGCCACCCGTCCATATTCAAACAACCGTGGCCCCAGCTGGCGAGCCCACACCCGCCGTACCATCCTCTCTTTGATCGTAAGATCGTGTTGCAGTTGCATCAGTACTCTCCGTTTTGGCATACGTGGCATCGGGTTGGATCTCGTGCAACGTTCTCCAAGGTCAAGACGTACTCTCACGACCCGAAGGCGTTCACCCAGGGACTCCTCTGGGAGGTGCTGTTCGCCTGTTTCCCTGTCTGGCCTGCCTTCTAGTCCAGCGTGTATCTTTCTACGTGCAGGTTGCAGCAGGTAATGGTATCCCGGGGAAGTTTGCTCACGGTCCTCATGTCCATTTTTTCATGTTGATGTCTTCAAGCAGGTGGCAGACATACACATATGTATATGTGTTTATCTATCTAACACAGGAGACCGGAAAGGAGGTGACGGGAGGGAGCAAGGGGAGCAAAATTGGAAGTGACAGGGTGGGAGCGACACAGATGGTTGGGGAGGAATGGAGCGGATTCAGGGGAGGGGAGGGCAGGATGAGAGGGTAGGAGAGGATGGGGAGGGGAGAAAGGGAGGGGAGGGAAGGGAGAAGAGGAGGGGGGCGAGGGACGAGAGGCAGTTACTTTGGCATGCGCACGCGCCGTGCGTGCGCGAGCCCTCCTGAGCAGGTCTCCTCGAGGCAACGACGTGGAGTCGGCCCTCCGCTCCCTCTGTCGTTTCGTTTTCCCTACTTCCCTCCCTTCACTCCAACCCCGCTCCTTCCCCTCCCTGCCCTCTTTTCCTCTGCCTTCCTCCCCCCACCTCCACCTCTTCCTTCCCGCCTCCCGTTTGCTAACCTAGCTCCTCTCACGTCTCCCCTTTGCATACTGTCCGCTGACTTCCCGCCCTCTTCCATCCTCCGCTCCGGCGTAGTGATTGTGTCGCATGCTTTTCATCCTGAACCGATCTGTGTTGCATGGCTCCGCAGCCTGGAATGGGGCCCCCAGACGCCGAAAGACTCCAAACACCTTGCCTCGGACGGGGCGATCCCTTGAAACGGCACGAATGGGGTGGGGGGATTCTGGAGCGATTCCTCCGTTCACCAGCCGTCTTGTTGTTGAAGCGACGCGAAGACGGGGTTGCACCGGTCCTCCCCTCCCCTCCCGCTTGCCCCCCTTCCCCTTCTCCGCATCCCACCCCGCCGCCGCCTCCAGAACGGCTCGCTCTACGAGTCCACGGGGCTGAACGGCCGATCCACGGTGCGGGAGCTGAGGCCTCGGGCCGCCCTTTTCAGTCGGCGGCGCCATCCGAGCCCGCACCCTCGCCGATCAGGGATTCGGGCTCGCCCGCCTTGGAGGCGGGTAACGCTGCCGCCGTCAATGTTCGAAGTCGGCGGAGGTGTTGCTCCTGGTGCTCCTGCCTGAGATCATCCAGGGGAGTGCGTTCCGTCGCCGTCCAGTGGGAGGGCGGCGTGCAGTGCTGCCGCACGGGCGTGCAGCTTAATGTGGCACTGTGTTTCTCATTGCCGTACGGTGGGTGTCGTGTCCTCTTGCGCCAAGTTGTGAGGCGCGCCGTCTGGGTGCGATGATGGGCCCGACGGCCTGCAGGCACAGGGCGGTTCGCCGCACAGACACCGCACAGGGTTTTGTTGTCGGCTCGTGGCTCCAGCTCTTGCCGCACGCCGACGTCGGAGTCACATGCTGGGGGTGTGATGGGGCCCCTTGGACGCGTTTGCGCGTGCAGCGCGCATGGTGATGAGCAGGTTTGATGTGGCGTGCAGGTTGTCCGATCTGCTGGAAGGGCACGGAGTGAACTGTGGGCGGCGATGAGGGGCATCATGAAGCACCCGAGATGAGGAGACGATGCGCACCAGGCCTTGGAAGCTTTCTTCCCCCCTTCCCCCTGAGTTCGGTCCACTGTATGTGCAGAGGCCTTTGAGGTGGAGGGGCTGGAGGGGAAAGGAGGGGAGAAGGGATGCATGGTGAAGGGGGGGGATGTGGAGAATTCGGCACGAGTGGATCGGATACGAAGAGGAGGCAGGGAGATTAGAGGAGAGGGGGGGGTATCGAGGTAGGGAAGGCATGTGGAGGATGACGAGGGGGAGGAGATGGAGGAGGAGGAGGAGGAGGAGGAGGAGGAGGAGGAGGGGTATATTTTATTGAGCGTTTCTAAGGGGGCAGGCACCGCCGCCCTTGATTGGAGCCTGGAGTTTCCTTTGGGGGTGGGGGATCCAGCTCGGCCCAAGAGGGTCCAAGAAGACGCGGAGAAGAGCCCAAGATCCCCACAGGGCCCCAAGAGGGCCCGAAAACATGCGGAAGGGGCATCCAAAGTTGTTGAACACGGCGGAGAAAACCGAAGAGGGATACAGAGAGGCAGGCGGGTGCGCGGCCGCCACCTCAGCTCCCGCTCCCCGAGGCAGCGGCCAGCACGGAAGTTCGGGGGGGTGTTCGCAGCAGGGGCGAATTTTGGTTGCTCCTTCCCTGGTGGGCTGGGGGTAGTCTTGCCCCCTTGATGCCGGGGCAAAGCCTCTACCAACGTCGTGAGATCCACGTTGGTTCCGAGAGTAAAGTCGAACCGAGGTGTAAGATCGAGGTCCGTTCGGGAAGGGTACCCTAGTGTTCTTCGTGTTTGTTGGATGTTGCCCTGGCATGTTTTTGATGTTTTGGCCGGCGGATGGTCTCACGCTCTCGAATGATTCTTCTGTTGGCCTAGGTCTGTATTGATGTGCGTGTTTGGACTCGTGCGTACTCTGTGGGCTCCCTACTTCAGGACCTCTTGGACCGTGTTTGGGGTTCTTGTGGAACGTCTCGAGGCCATTTGAAGCCATCTTGGACCGCTCTTCGGCGGTCTAGGGCGGTCTGGTGTTCTGTTGTGGAGGGCGCTCGTGCCATTTTGGAACCGTTTTGTAGCTCTGTCGGCGGCAGGGGGGCCTTCCTCCCCTTCACCACCTTCCTCCGCACCCCCTTGCCGTGCCCCTCCTCCCTCTTTGTGGGTGGACAAACGTGTACGGATGACGCTGCTCCTGTTCCGTGGAACTCGGATCTGCTGGTTATGCGTGTTTTGGTTCGGCTCCTTTTGGTTCGTGAGCAACGGGCGTTTGCCGAATTCAACACGAGCAGACGGATCGGGCGGTGGTTCGGTCACGTAACGTCGCGTCGCGCTAGGACCATTCCATTACATTCCCTCCCCCAGACCCCCCCTTCCGACCATCTCCCCTCCACCCCGTGCCCCCCCACCCGATAGCCCAGTTAGAGGAGGTCCACAAGGTCACGGGCCAGGTCACGTGAGTCGTTTCTCGTCAGGCGCGCATTGCCGAAGCGACGGGCAGGCATAAAGCTCACATGTGCTGAGCCACGGCCCATCACGCCATGCCCTAAATGGGCACGGGCGGGCTCCCTAGTGGAGCGCGCGTCAATCTGACGTTCGGTTTGCTTCGCTGGCCCCAGGCATGGCAGGATCTGCAGGAGGATTTTTTGTTTAAATCAGCACTCCTGGATAGCACCGTGAAGGAGCTCAATCGGCTGATGTAGGGTGAGCGGCCGCAGCCGCCACGCGCAGGTCGCTAGGTGGCCCATCCCCTTGCAGGACCGACTCACACGTCGTTCGTTCGTTTCTCCCTCCCCCTGGGTGAGTAAAAGTGCATTGATATATCGAGGCGAAGCCAGCCGCGGCGAGGAGGGAAGGGTTAGCGGTATCGGTATCGGCCCTTCTCCTGGCACCGCCTCTTGCCTGGCGCGATCCCCCCCCCCCCGGTATCGGTATCTGTTCGTCGGTATCGTCTAGTCTTCCCTTCTGGCGCGCCTCCCCCCCCCGAGGCTCGAGGGCAACAAGTCGCGGGTCGTCCGCAAGGCCGCGGCGGGGCGGGGGTCACTCCGAAGATTTGTGTTGCTTTTTCCGCGCTGTCGCTGCCCTGGGACCTTTTCGCTGCCATGCGAGGCCCCGCCGCACCTCGCGGTGCATCAGCATTGTTCCTCTTCCTCCCCCTCTTCTTCCTTCATGCGTCCTCTTCCTCCTCCTCCTCCTCCTCCTCCTCCTCCTCATCCTCCTCTGGGCTATGGTTTCTCAGCACAACCAGCTCCGGCCCCCGGATGGGATAGGCCCCGCGGGACCTTGAGGGGACAGCATATTTGCTGGCCTTCGGTCAATCCCGCCACAGCGCCTGGGTTGTAGGTAAGATGCCTCTGGGATGCCATTGAGATCTCTTGGGAGGCCTCTCGGAAGCCTCTCCCATTCTATATTGGGTTGTTTGGAGGCCTATCAAGGGTATTGGCGGTCCATTGGGGGGCCTGATTTGGGCCTCTTGGGAGCCTCATGGAGCTTGCTGGGGGCCTGTTGTGGGCCTGCTGGCGGTCTCGGGGTCCATCTTCTGGCGAAGGTCTCGAAATGTCGGCTCGTGCTCCCCATCCTGGGCTTCTCTTGGGCCCCTTTTTGAGCTCCATTGTGCAGTGTCGGGGCCGTCTGTGGGCGCTCTTGGGACCTCCTGGGCCGTCTGGGGGCGTTCTTTCGGGGGGTTGTTGGGTCGTCTTGGGGCGTCGAAAGCCAAAAGCGGCAGACACACCAACATCCTCCAACCAACGAGCGCACATCAATGATTTGAGCATCTCGGGTCCTTCTTGGGGGGCCTCTTAGAGTCCTCTTGGGGCATCTTGGAGGCTTCTGGGGCCGTGGGGCCATCCTGGGCTTCTTGGAGCAACGTCGGGATGTCTTGGATGCCCCTTGTGCCCTCTTCGGCACTGCTTGCCCGTCATAGGGACCCAGGAGCCTCTCGACAAGTCACGCGTGGAAGCCCGAGTGCGCGCAGGAGCGCTGGGTCGATGATTGGGCCAGTGGCCAGTGGGTGCGTCGGCCAGTTGTGCTAACATGATTGGCAAGTTTTCCGCGACCACTACCCTATGTAGGACGGGGGAGAAGGGAGGATGAGGTCCTCTTCCTCCTCCTCCTCCTCCTCCCGCCCCTCCTCCCCCTCCTCCTCTTCCTCCTTCTCCTCCGCCTCCTCCTCCTCCTCCTCCTCCTCCTCCTCCTCCTCCCCCTCATCCTCCTCCTCCTCCTCCTCCTCCTCCTTCTCCTACTTCTTGTAGTGGTGGTGCAGTTGGGCCCATCATGCGAGGCCACGCCAGTGAATAGATTGGGATCGGCACAGCGGTGCTTCTTGCTGGGCCCCGCGGCACCTCGCGCGGCGCGGGCAGGAAGAGGACAGCGAGGAGGAGGAAGAGGAGGAAGAGGAGGAGGAGGAGGATAGCGAGGAGGAGGAGGAGGAGGATAACGAGGAGGAGGAGGAGGAGGGTACGAAGAAGGAGGAGGATGAGGAGGAGGAGGAGGGGTAGAGGAGGAGGCGTCGTCGGATGAGGATGGGGGGGAGAAGAAGGAGCAGGATGAAGAGGACGAGGCGGCGGATCATCCGGATGTGCAATTCTCATCGCTCCCATGTCGGCGACACTATATAATTGTCTACACTTGGCAACAAGATCCCGCCCCCAGAACCCCAGTACGGGATCCCACCAAGACCACAGTAATTCCCGACAAGACCCCAATTGGATTCCAATCGCCTTCTTCCAGGAATCCTCCAGGGTTCCTCAAGATCCCTGAAGATGTCCGATTCCCAGAAATTCCTGAGGACTTCAATGTGATGCCTGAAGGCTTCCTCAAGATTCCTTGCGGATTCCTTTCGAATCTTGCAATCTGTCGAAGGGATTTCTGGAGATTCACTGCGGATCTGTGAGAATCCCTGGGGATTCTTGTTCCGGAGTCCGGAATATCTTTGAGGAACACCGACTGATCTTTGAAGGGCTCTTGCGGACTCCTGCCGTTTCGTGAGGAATCAGGAAGATCCTTGCAGGGTGCTTGAAGGATTCTTGAGGGTCCCTGGGCCTTCCCCCCCTACGAATGATTCAATGCCTTAATCAATAATGTAATTCATTGCGACAGGTACGGTCGTTTCGGGGAGGGTGTCCGAATGTTCATCATCGCTGTTGGTTGTTTTTGTGCATCCTGCGGAAGGTAGCCTTAGATGTTCAGAGTGTTTTTGTTGGCTGAGGGTCTCGCGTTCTCGAAGTATGTGATTATGTCTTAGGTCCGACTGTATCGGTTGATACTTCCGCTCTTATGTCGTTTTCAGCTATTGGGGTAGGAATCAGGGGGGGATCGATAACTGCATGGCAAGGTCAATGTGGACGATCATGAGGAGGCGGAGGAGGAAGTGAGGGTGGTGAGGTGGATGTGGTGTCGTCGGAGAAGGATGGTCAGAACCATGAGCAGGATGAGCCTGATCTTGAGGATGAGTTTCGTCATGCTCCCTTCAGTACGAAGGCAGGCGCTGCGGACAGGACAGAACCTGTCCCAGCCGGATGGTGAGATGAGGAGGAGCCGTCGGACATTGAGGGTGAGGAGGAGGAGCAGGAACAGGGGCAGGAGCAGGATCAGAGAAGGAACATGTTCCGATATCGCTACCCTCTTTTTTTATTTTCGCCTTTCTCGGTCTTCTGTGAGGCTCTCGTCGCCACGGCTGGATTCGCCTGGAACTTCTGGTCAGAACGCACCCCAGGAAAGGTCCAGGGATTAGCGGTCTCGGTATCTTCTGACTTCCCCAGAGGAGGATGACCAGGAGGGGATGCTGAGGAGAACGTCAAGAGCAGGACGGTGAGAGGGAACATATTGAGAGGAGGACGGTGAGAGGAGGAGGCATCGACGTTACGTTGCATCATCGGGGGACTTCGTCGGTGCTGTAATTGTTTGTCTTTTCTGATATTCGACGCGTGGTCCGCGCGGATTCGGAGTGGCATCGGCGCGGACACAACGCGATTTCGGCGTGGGCGTGACGCGGATTCGACGCGGATTGCGGCGCGACGGGACAAACAAGGTCCCCCGAAGATGCATCACAAGCGTCGTCGGAGGGTGGTGCGGAGAAGGCGGGTGATGCGAAGAAGGAGGAGGAGGAGGCGGAGAATGGTGATGAAGACGGGACAGGCTCATTGAGGGCATCTTGCGAAACATACACGTCGGAAGGACGTGCGATCAATGACGAGGCCTGCGCTGTATATGTCCTACTTTACACTTTGCCATCCGGGTGGCTTCACCCTGCGCGTCCTCTCGACAGGTCGACCTCGAGCAGAGCCACTTCGGAGAGGGCCTGGTGCACAGGAGGGGCACGCTGGTGCAGACCCTATCAGCTGCGCGATCGAGGCGGAGACGGGCATGAGAGGGGGCATGAGGAGGGTCATGAACTAGGATGGGACAGGGAGGGGTGGTCAAGGCTCCGTGGAGCGCACGGGTGTCTGAAGATCTGCCCCTGTGATTTCTTTTTGGGGAAGCAGCACCCAGCTCTGTGCGGGCCATAGCCATTCTCGAGTGAGCTGGGCTGGCGCCCCAGCTGGCCGTCCAGAGATCGCCTTGTCGTACTGGGCCGCTTCCCTGCCAGGAGGTGCTGCCCAGCCACACACTGACCCGCCGATCCTCAAGCAGGGCTCAGGAGGAACCCGGGGGGGTGGCCCAATAGGTTCCCAAGGGGCTGCAGATCAACACACAACAACTTACACAAGATGGGCTCGGATTCCCGACCCTTCTCTGCTTGGTGTGTGTGTGTGTGGGTGGGGGTGTCTGGTTGTGGTGGGGGTGTGGGTGTGTGTTCGTTGTCTCACCACGCACGCACCCAGCGGGTTGTTCGATGCTTCCTTCGGGAGCTGTTTCACTTCCAAGAGCGCCCTCCACGCAGGTTTGCGCTTAATGTGTTCGACACTCCTTCATATCGTTGATTGCGACTGTGGGGCCACATCGACGGGAAAGGGCAGTGCTAGGATGATCTGGTAATCTTGGCTCTCGTCGGGTCCCCCTCCTGGGGTGGCACTCGGTGGGAGCCCCTGGAGGCCTTTGCTCCCTCCTGCGGGGTGCTAAGGCAGGGGAGGATTCGAGGCAGCCCCCTGTCTGGCCACCGCCGATCTGGTCTGCCCTCTGTGGTCAGAACACACATTTCACGAGGTAAACCCCGCCATTCGATCTTCGCATGGGAGGTGCACAGCTCACTGGACACGAGCCTGGTTGCTAGCATGCGTCGGCGGCTCAGCTTCGAGCCGGCGTCCTTCTGTCGGCTTCCGTTCTGCTGGGAGCGACTACCTCGGAGCCCCGATCCTTATCGCTGGGAGTTCGCGGGAGCCCAGGCACACCACCACCAGTCCCCGCAGTACCCGACGGTCCGGCCCGACGGTGGATTTGGCTCGGGACAGGGGCCCAAAGTCCACTAGCTCGAACGAGCCCTTACGACCCGCCTCCCTGCTCCCTGCTCCGCTCTCTCCCCCTCGTCCCTTGGTTGGCGAAGGATGGCATGGGTGACAACGGCGGGGAGGTGGCCATTAGTTGGCATGCGCGTGTGCTTTATTATTGCAGTTAGTTTGCCACCGCTCGCCCTAACCCGAGCCCCCTGTCAGCTTTTCGGCGACAATCGCGTAGTCGTCGAACCCCAGGGTTCCGTTTACTTGGGCGTTGTTTCGATTCCGCGTTGTCCATTATGTAGTTTTTTTTGGTGTCGAATTGGATCGCGCGCGAACGGTGGTTCTATAGTAGGCTTGCCAGCGTGGACCACACATTGATTTGCTATGCAGGGGGTGGTGAACACGATGGTGCTGGTAAGGATCACGGGAAAGTGCCCACGCGCGGAGATTTCAAAGTCATGGCAGATTTGTTCGACAGAGCAGTGCTTGCGCCGAAGGGGGTCATGCAATCGCTTCGCTCACTCCGCTGGCCCATCTTGCACCACTGTGTTGTTCCCATGGCGGGCGATCAGAGGGACACCATGATTCGATAGGAGAGGAGGCGGAGGAGGAGGAGAGTCCTCTCTACGGTTTCTTTGGGCGCTTAGGGGGGCAAAATGGAAGGCGGGCAAGACGCATCTTTGGCAGTCTCTTGGGGTCTCTTGGGAGGCCTCTCGGGGTCCTCTTGGCCTCATGCTTGGGACCTCCTGGTGCCTCTCAGGGATCCCGTGGGGCATCCTTTTGGGCTTCTGGCGGCCTCTTGGGGGGTTTTACGGGGTCCTACTGGCGGTCTGGCGGGCCCAAATTCGCGGAAGGCTCGAGGTGTCTGTTCGGATTCGCCCTTTTGGAGCCCTCACGGTAGCCTCTGTGGCCCTCTAGGGGGGCCTCTTTGGCTGTCTTGGGGCCCTGTTGGGCCGTCTTGGGGCCATCCTGGGAGCCCCCTGGGCTGTCTTTCGGCGATGTTGGAGGCCTCTTGGGCCGTCCTGGGCGGTCGGAAGCTTGAAAAGACGGTAACGCCAAGATCTGTCAAACACCAAAGCAGGATCATTGAAGTTTTCTCCTTCGGGCCCTCTGGGGGGTCGTCTTGGAGTCCTCATGGGGCGTCTTGAGACAAACTTGGACCATGTTGGAACGCTCTTGCCCTGAGGCCGTGGGGCATGCCACCCCTTCGGCGCCTCCTTGAGGCGCTCCTGCTGCCCTCGGGGGTCCCCCATGGCCGCGCCCAGGCGTTCCGACATCTCTGGCCCAGACCTGCCGGGACTTTGCCAGGACCTTGCCGGGGCATTGTTCGTCCGGGACCCCAGGGGCCGCGACGCGCGCGCGAGCTGGAAAACATCCTCAGATTCTTACTCGAGACTTGAGCTTGCCTTGGGCCCCCTCGGGCCCGCGGGTGCGCGGTTCGAGGATGCGCCCCGTGGCCGCTCGCAGTCGCCGCTCGCAGTTCCCTTGGTGGGTGCGTCGAGGACTCGGCCCGCGGACACCCTGGGCCCGCTCTGAGGCCGCTCGAGGGCTCGGCCAGTGGCTCGGCATCGCTCGGACGTGTGCATTTTTTCCCCGGCGACGGCCATCGAGGAGCATCCTTGCTCACTTGGCGAAAAAGCCACGCACGAAACCGAACAAAACCTAGGGAATGGACATCCGAGCTGCCCAGGTGGCCGCCCGAGGCCGTGGGGTGGGCGCGGCGGAGACGCCTCGCCGTGCCCGCTCCGTGGCCGCGCGCGGGCGCTGCTCTCGCCGTCGCCGCGCGGGCGCGACGAGGGCGCGCCGCGCGGCTGCCCCTTGCTGCCCGTGCTCTCTCGCCGTCGCCGCTCGCAGTCGCTGGGTGGGTGCTGTGCGGATTCGCCACCTCCAGAGCAGGAGGAGCAGGTGCCCATACCTCTGCCCTGCCCTCGTTTTTTTCTTCTTTTTTTGGGCCTCCCGGGCGGCCCCCGTCGCCACCGCCGGATTCGCCTCGAGATCCTGGTCAGAACGCACCCCAGGAGAGGTCCGGGGAGTAGCGGTATCGATACCTTTTGGTCGGTCTCTCTCTCTCTCTCTCTCTCTCTCTCTATATATATATGTGTGTATGTATATATATATATATGCAGCTATGTATCCTCAATGATGCCTGGCTCATGCCCCTCCGGCGCTGGGCCGGGTCGTTAGTGAGCTCGGCCCGCTTCTGGCTGCTGGGCGTCTCCGGTGCCGCATCTCATACCTCACCACCCACCAAACCACCCCAACCCAACCCGAAGGCCCAAATTTATCCTCGATTTCCAGTGGGGGGGGGTCGGAGAACGTTGAAAAAACACATGGAACCCGTACCCCCCCCAACCCGAAATTCGGGTCAAATTCGGGTCTTCGGGTTGGGTTGGGGTGGTCTGGTAGGTAGTGAATACCTGTGTGACGGATTCGCGCCAGATGCCGCTTTGGTCGAGCCGGATATGACGAGGCAGGCAGACATTGAGGTATGACATTCTTGCCGAGCTCCAGGGAGGGGGAGCGGGATGGCGAAGGGGGATAGCGAAAGGGGGAGAGGGAGAGAGGAAGAGAAGCGCAAGCGGGAGGGGGAAGGACAGGAGCGAGTGAGAGGGCACATTAGAAGATGCCGCCGCCGGCGGCCCTCCCCGGCGGCGCCCCGAGGTGCAGCTGCTTTGGCGCCAGGGCGAGGCGCCCGGTCGGGGCCCGCCCCCCGCGCGACGCCTCCTCTCTGGGCCTCTCAGCACGAACGAAAAGGGTACGGAAAGAATGGGTGCGATGCCCAATAGGAGTTCCTGTCCACTTTGAACAGGACTCGCGGTCCGCGCCGCCGCGGCCTGTGCCCAACAGCGGCCGCTGTTGGTTTGAGACACCACTTGTTGTTGGGCATTCTACCCATTCTTTCCGTACCCATTTCGGGCGTCCAAATCTTCCTCCTCCACCTTCTCAACCTCGTCGCTATCCTCCTCCTTCTCGCTATCCTCCTCCTTCTCGCTATCCTCCTCCTTCTTCCCCCCCTCCTCCTCCTCCTCCTCCTCCTCCTCCTCCTCCTCCTCCTCCTCCTCCTCCTCCTCCTCCTCCTCCTTCTCGTCACCATCATCCTACTAATCCCCCTCATCCACCTCCTCCTCCTCCTTCTCTTCCTCCGCCTCTCCTCCTCCTCCTCCTCCTCCTCCTCCTCCCTCTCATCCCCCCTTCCCCATAATCCCCCTCCTCCCCCCTCCTCCCAGCCCGCGCGACGCCTCAGTCTCTTCCTCCTCCTCCTCATCCTCCTCCTCCTTCCTTCCCCCTCCTCCTCCTCCTCCTCCTCCTCCTCCTCCTCCTCCTCCTCCTCCTCCTCCTCCTCCTCCCCTCCTCCTCCTCCTCCTCCTCCTCCTCCTCCTCCTCCTCCTCCTCCTCCTCCTCCTCCTCCTCCTCCTCCTCCTCCTCCTCCTCCTCCTCCTCCTCCTCCTCCCCCCTCCTCCCCGCCCGCGCGACGTATCCTCTTCTTCCTCCTCTTCCCTCCCCCTCCTTCTCCTCCTCCTTGTCGTCCTCGTCCTCCTCCTTTTCCTTCTCCTCCTCCTCCCTTCCTCCTCCTCCTCCCCTCCTGCTCCTCCTCCCCCTTCCTCCCCCGCCCGCGGGACGCCTCCTCCTCCTCCTCCTCCTCCTCCACCTCCTCGTCCTCCTCGTGCACCCCCGCTGGGGAGTCTCGGACCCGCTGCCTGCCAATGCCGGGCAGGGCCTTTGCGCTCGGCGCGCGTCGCCGCGCTCCCCGCACCGGCGTAGCAGACCCTTCTGTGAGGACCAGGCTGTGATCCTTCGACAGCTCGCCATCTATCGAAGAAGAAGCCACCCGCCACACACCTAAAGCTTTGGCGCCCCGCGGCCCGTCTGGCAACGCCTCCCGGGCCGCCCCGGGCGAGCTCCGCGCGCCAGGGAGGGGGTCCAGCGCAGATCCAAGAAATCCGCGCGGAGCGCCAAACAAGTTTAAGTTTAGGTTGTTGCGTCATCGTCTAATCTATGCACCGCACCGGTTCCCCTGTGGCACGTGGGCAAACTTGTGGAGTAGGCCACCGCCTTCGTCCCCCCCCTCGCGCTCCTCCCCCTGCCCCCCTCCTCTCCTCCCCCTTCGCCCTCCTCGGCCCGCTGTCCAGGAGCATGACACAAGGGCGGGGCGGCCGAGCTCGAGAAACAGATAGGAACGGGGCAAACGGGAGAGACAGATGAGACAAAGAATCGGGTGCCTCTCCCTCGGCTCCCCCTCGATCCTGGCCTCCCGCGCCCGTTTTCTACCCCTCCGGCCCGGATTCTGCCTATGGGCGCCAGTGTGGGTGTGGGGGTGGGGCGGAATGTCTTTTTTTTTGCCAGATCTTCCCCCTTGGCAGAGGCAGGGCAGAGAGGAGGAAGAATGTTTTTTTTGTTTGCCAGATCTTCCCCCTTGGCAGAGGCAGGGCAGAGAGGAGGAAGAAGAATAGGAGGATGAAGATGAAGATGAGGATGACGATGACGATGATGATGCTGCTGCTGCTGATGATGATGATGATGATGATGATGATGATGATGATGATGATGATGATGATGATGATGATGCTGGAGCCCGTTTCTTTATTGCTTGGGGCATGACGGGCGTCATGGCCCCCGCTCCCCCCCCCTATGACGTAACGCTCCCCCCCCAGTGCGCTCCGGGAACTGCCGCCGTGCGCATTGGGATCCGCGTAGGTGTCCGCGTAGGAATCCGCATGGGAGTCTGGTCCGCAGTCGTCGTCGTCGTCGTCTTCGTCGTCGTCGTCGTCGTTCGTGGCTTGTCGCTCGTCGCTCATAGTCGTCGTGCGCGCGGACGCGGCTGAAGTCAGTTTTTTTACTCCGGGCCAATGGCGGCAATCGTCTGGGGGGGGGAGGAGGGGGTCGATGACGTCACGTTTCGCGCCGGCGGCGTCTGTGAATGCTTAGGAATTACGGAGGACGGGTAACGCCAGCATGTAGGTGGCGATTTGCACCACGACGCCTGTGTACACCACAGTGCCTGCGTGCACCACAGCGCCTGTGTACACCAAACCGCCTGTGTACATCACAGCAGCCGCGTGCAACGCAGCGCCAGTTTGTGCCATCGTGCCTGCGGGCACAACAGCTTTCGTGAACACCACAGCGCTTGCGTACACCACATCAGCCGTGTGCAACACAGCACCAGTGTACACCACAATGCCTACGTGCATTGCAGTGCCTGTGTGCACCACTGCGCCCGTGTGCGCCACAGCAACCGTGTGCAACACAGCACCACTGCTGTATATAGAATCTCAGAAGGAATCCTTCTGACAAGATGGAGCGCTTGTGGATTCCACATAAAAAATAGAACATAATCCTTATGGACAACGGAGCGCCTGTGGAATTTATGAGTCCTCCCGAGTCCGCCCGCATCACCCTAACTCCTCCCATTTGCGTCCAAGACGCTCCAGCGAGATTGGCCGTCCGAGAACCAAATGGACCGACTCAATCGACCATTCTGCGGTGCGCGCTGAGAAGCGCACGGGCGCTGTAGCGCCAATCCGAACGACAGGAGTTAAGGAGGAGGAGGAGGAGGAGGAGGGGGTGGTGGAGGTTGAGGAGGAGGGTGGAGGGAAGAACGTCGCATTCGATGCTCAGCATTTTCTGGACGTGGCATCTAGTTGTCCGCAGCAGATCCTCACGTACATGCTCCTTGTACCTGTCCTATGTTCGCAGGCGTCGTGGTGTACAGCGCTGCGTTGCACGCGGATGTTGTGGTGTAGACACGCGCCGTGGCGTGCACATGCGCTGCGTGCACGCAAGCATTGCAGCATTGTGGTGTACACAGGCGCTGTGTTGCATATGGTAGCTGCGGTGTACGCATGTTCGCCTGCGCTGTAGTGTACGCAAGCAGTGTGGTGTGCACAGGCGATGCGTTGCACACAGTTGTTGCGGTGTACGCAGGCGCTGTGGTATACACGCGCATTGTGGTGCACGCGAGCGCTGCGGTGTACACAGGCGCAGTGGGGCACATCGCCACCTAAATGCTGCTCGCGTCGTCGTCGTCGTCGTCGTCGTCGTTGCTCGTCGCTCGTCGTTCGTCGCGTCGCGCGCGGGGGCGCAGCTGCGGTGCCGGAGCCACACAGCGGGGGGAGCGTTACGCCATACCCCCCTCGCCCCCCCATGACGCCCGTCATCGCCGACCATAAACAAACGCGTTCTTGGTGATGATGATGATGATGATGATGATGATGATGATGATGATGATGATGATGATGATGATGATGATGATGATGATGATGATGATGATGGTGATGGTGATGGTGATGGTGATGGTGATGGTGATGATGATAATGCTGATGCTGATGATGGTGATGGTGATGGTTGTGGTGGTGGAAAGGATGATGCTGATGATGATGACAACGAGGAGGACGAGAAGGACGAGGAAGAGGAGGCGGGGAGGGGGGGAAGAGGAGGAGGAAGAGGAGGAGGATGAGGAGGAGGAAACGGAGGAGGAAAAGGAGGAGGAAAGCGTGGAGGAGCAGGGGGAGTAGGAGGATCATGGTGACGAGGGGGAGGAGAAAAAAGGATGAGGAGGAAGAGCAGGAGGAGGAGGAGGAGAGGAGGAGGAGAAGGAGGAGGAAGAGCAGGAGCGGGTTTAGGAGGATGGTGAGGAAGTATGAAGGTGAGGAGCAGGAGGAGGAGGAGGAGGAGCAGGAGGAGGAGGAGGAGGAGGAGGTGGAGGGAGGAGGAGGATGATGATCGTGAGGGGAAGAGGAGGAGGAGCGGCGCCTGGCGTCCACGTGCCGACTTTCCAGTCTTTTCGCTTCGCCTTCCCCCCTTTCTCCGGGACCGCCCTTCGTTCCCCTCTCACCATCCTCTCCTTCCCGTCCCGCCGTCCCCTCCGTCCCCGTTTCCCTCCCCCTTTCCCTCCCCCATCCCTGCCCCGCCTCGCCCTTTGGCCCTCCCACGCCCCGAGCTCCTCTCGCCCCCACCCCATCCCGTCCTCGATGCCCCGCCCCTGCCCTCCTCTCCCGCCCTCCCGCCCCGCCCCCTCCGCGACCCCTCGCCCCCTACTCTCTCCCGTCTTCCCCCCCGCCCCCCCCCCCCCCTCCTCCCCTCCCCTCCTCCCTCCTCCCTTCCAGGCGCGCGGCACCTGGCCGCGTCCCTCCCCCCGTTCCCGCCTCGCCCCCCTGTCTTCCAGTCTCTCCCTCTCTCGGGCTGGCCGCGGGAGCGAGGTCGCAGCGCGTCATCCCGCCCCCGCCTCTCGCCCTCCTCGCTCCCCGCCCTCCCCCGTCGTGGGCTTCGCCCTGCTCGCCCCTCTTCTCCGTGCCTGTCCTGCCCGCCGATGTTTTCCCTTACTCGGGGGCGGAAAAGAGGGGGGTGATGACTAGGGGGGGGTGGGTATCATGGCGTGGGCCATGATATTTCCCCAGATCTCATGGCGCCTCTTCTTGTTTCATTACGTGCCTCGGCCCCCCCCAGGGGCCGCGCACATGCAGCCGGCCATGATTTGTGCCCCCCCCTCTTGGACGCCCCCCTCTTGGCCGCTCCCGACTTACAGGCGGACCCAGGTATAAGATCGAGGTCGGCTCGGGCTAGTGTTAGTTGTGCTTGTTGGATGTTTTTGTGCATCCTGGGGAGGGTACCCTTGGATGTTTTGATTAGCTATGCCGGCGGAGTGTCTCATCTTCCTGAGGGCTGTTTTTCTGGCCTGGATCCGACTGCACAACCTCGCCCTTCCGTCCCGCTGCAGTCGAGCTTGCGTGGCCGCAATTCGGTTACGAGACGCTGCCGTCGAATACAGGTTCTCATCTAGACCCAGCCGGGGCGGTTCATGCGATGCAGGCGCTGAGAAAGGCGTTCAATTCGAGTAGGGGATCGACAACCGATTTGATTCACCTCCGTTTTTTTGTCGAGTCCACGAAAAATGCGCAGAATGCTCCGTAGATCTACGAAGCATTCTACGCACTCGTTTGTGGAGTCGACGGACAAATCAATATTCTACGCACTCGTTCGTGGAGTCGACGGACAAATCAATTTCGAAGTACGTCAATTTTGTAGTCGATCCCCTACTCGATCCATGGAGCGTCGGAAGACAACCGTGCCCCGATGGCCGAACACGTCCGTATCCACGGCGTCTCTGGCTGTGCCCCATGGACAGCGACCCCGCGGATACGGAGTGTTTCTTCACGGATGCCCCGCGCGGGAATGTGTTTCCATACGACCGCGTATTCGTGATACCCCCCCCCCGGAATGCAGACCGCGAGGGGGTGGATATGATGTTTTCGCCGCTCGTGAAGGTCGGTTGCGCCGACATTTGCGCGTCCGCTCTCCGGGTAACGCTCGCGCGTAGGTTCCCCCTTCTCGTACGCGGCGTGCCACGCTGGCGGCCCGCGTGGACCTTCGCGTATGGTCGCCATGTCTGCTTGCGCAGGCGCCCCTTCTCCTCGTCGCTCAATCGGAGCTGGTGCGGTGGCTGCCGATCGGCCGCTCGCAGTGAGGAGGAGGAAGAGCACGAGCAGCAGCAGCAGGGAGGCAGCGCTCCGGAGAACTTCCATGCCAGGAGGTGCCGGGCTCCTTAGCAGCAGCAGGCGGACGGGCCATCCCGCGAGGGTGCCTGTGGATGGGGCCCGTTGCCACTGGCGAGCTGCTGTCTGTTGACGCCGTCTCCCGTCCGGTCTCCTGCAGACGGAAGGGGGGAGGGGGGGGGTCTCGAGGAGGCACGGGGAGCGGGAGGGGCGAAGCAGCGGGAGGCTGGAGGGGTGGAGCTGCTTGGCATCTCTCGGACGTGCGCTCTTTTTTGGGCGAGGAGCGAGAAGCGAGGACCATCGAGGAGCATCCCGGATCCTCTTACGCGAGACACGAAACATCGAAGCGTCCTGGACCAGCCTGCAAACCAGGCGCACGCGAAACGGAGCACATGCACGGGGAACAGGGACGGAAGTGCGTGACAGGGGGAGGGAGGTGCAGGGGCAGGAGGAGGGTATGTGGGGTGGGGGGAAGGTGGATCTCTTGCCAGCGCTTTCCCCCCTCCTCTGGAGGCGCTCCGCTACCCTGAAGGCCGACGCCGTGACAACACCGCCGACGGGGCCTCTCTGTTCGCTCCGACGGAGGCGGACGAAACGAAGGAGGAGGAGGTGAAGGAGGCGAAGTCTTCCCCTCCCCCCTCAGCACCTCCTTCACTCCTCCACTCATCCTCCACGCCTTTACATCCTCCTCATCCGCTCCCCCTCCCCATCCTAATCTCCGGGGACCCTGGGAAGAAGGATAGGATGAAGAAGATCGGAGGAGGTGGTGGAAAAGCACGGCGACGATCATAGGAGAAAGAGAGTAGGAGGAGAATGGGGGGGAAGATCGATGCCCCAGGCGGGTATGGATAAACCCTCTCCTCGCAAGGGGATGGGGGAGGGAGAGGCCCTCTGTCTCGTCAGACGGATCTGCCCGGCCCAAGCGAGCCACTGTTGAGCCCCGAACGAGGGGCAGGGGGAGAGGAGGTGGAGTGCCTCACCCCCTCCTGGAGGACAGATGTCTGAGGGAGCATTCGGATGAGATGGGAGGGGAGGGAGGATGGAGGTGGGAGGAGGAGGAGGAGGAGGAGGAGGAGGAGGAGGAGAATGAGGAGGAGAAGGGGATTTGTTCTTCCCTCTGCGAGTTGGGCCCGTCGGGCGACAAGCAAGCCTGCAGGTGTCGGGATCCCCTGTCCCGCCGACGGCACGCCTGGGTCAGAGATGATTGAGGTTGCGCTGCACAAGAGAAGGCGGTTCTTGAAGGACCAACATCCCAAAGTGAGGCGAGAGTGCGACGATAATCGCGAATTGGCCGTTTTCTCCCGGGAAGGGAGGGGTGAGGTGGAGGAGGTGGAGGATGAGGATGAGGATGAGGAGGAAGAGGAGGAGGAGGAGGAGGAGCAGGAAGAATACGAAAAAAGAGGGGGGGACGAGGAGGAGAAGGAGGAGGAGGAGGAGGAGGAAGCGAGGAGGAGGCGCCGGGGCTCGGCCTCGCCACGCCTCCCGTCGGTCTGCCTGGGGAAGGGCGGCCGCCCCCGTCGGCGGCCGGCGGCCAGAGCGCGGGCGGGCGAGGGCGGCTACCTCGAGAGGCGCTCCCGCGGCCGCCCGGCCCCGGCCCCAGGGGCAACTGGGCCAGGCCTGCTCTTCCTCTTCCTCCTCCTCCTCCTCCTCCTCCTCCTCCTCCTCCTCCTCCTCCTCCTCCTCCTCCTCCTCCCTCCTCCTCCCCCCTTCTGCCCCCCCCCCCCCAGCGCAGCCTGCCCTGGACCAGCGTGGCGGCGCGCTTGGTGGCCACGCGCAAGTTTGGCATCGCTCGGACGTGTGCATTTTTCCTTCGGCGAGGGCCATCGAGGAGCATCCTTGATCATTTGTCGAAAAAACTCCACGCACGAAACCGAAACAAAAACAGAGAATGGACGTCCGAGCGATGGCGAGCGAGAGGGTTCTGGGCGGTCTGCCAGCTTCGGGGCGGTCTGCCAGCCTCGGGGCGCTCTGGAGCACTGGCGCCTCGCCGAGACCGTTCTGGGGGTGCCCGGATCGTCCCAAGCGGCCGCCTGAGGCCCGAGTAATGTGAAGTCGGGCGTGTCCCTCTACATGGTGAATTTTGGAACATTGTCGAAATATTGTCTTGTGGCGATGTTTCATGCCATGTTTCAAATACTTCCGCAAAGGTTTGGACAAGTTTTCTGGATACTGGCTAGGCGAACGCTCGATGCACGCGCTTGGAAAACACGATGCGCCACGTGGCGCCACCATTATTTGTTCCGCCAGACTTGGTGGGGACAGCGCGCGGTATCTCGTTTTAGCAGACGCGTGCGTCTATGGCGATGTGGCTTGTGCACCGGGCACAACGAGGGTCGACCGCGCGGTACCATCGTGGACTGGATGTCGCGGCGTTGCGATCATATTCGCGCGCAGCGTGGGCAATTCGACGGGTACTTTTTGGGCAGCCGACAGTGGCCCTGCAGATTTGGACCCCTGTGATTTTTTTTCTGTGACGCACGTGCACAATCTGCCCGATCAGTGTTTGCGGCCTGTGGCATGTAAGATCGCGCTGCAAAGCTCCAGTGTTCTCCCCTGTTCACCCCCTCGCTCCTGCGCGCCTTTCTTGTGCATCCTCCCCCGTCTAGTCCCTATCAGTAAGGGTGGCGCGCATGTGCCCGCGCTTCCCACGATCGGCAATTGGGCTCGTTTCGGCAATCGCGCTGGGCATATTGCGCTAACAGACCTTCCTGACCGGACGAGGCGTTCCGTTTGTGATGCAATTATCGAGTAGCTACGAATGGACTAGGAGCTGATATGAGGCGCGGCAGGTGTGGGCTGGAGGTAATCCGTGAGTCAGGTTGACTGCACTTGGGCGCAGGATAGGTTCAACGCCAGTTCCGAGTAGGGCAGAGTTGGGGTCAGCGTAGAAATTTCAGATAAACATTCACCAGTTCTCACATGAAAGAGAGGAGTGGGCTTGAATGTGCCGTTGTAGTGGAGAAGAATACGTTCGGGTACAATTAGGCGTGTGGTGGGGCAAAATACGATTGCGGCTACATGTGCACATTCGCATATAAACTTACCAGCGCAGCCAAATTAATTTTGGCCCATTGGATCGGTAAGTTGGTCGCGCGGATCGCGCGGAGCCGAGTATAGGGCGCTCTCGACCAGGGCGGGCAAATATGCCTACTCGCGCACGCGTGCGCGTCTATTTACATGTGTTCACATGCGCAAATCGGTGGGCCCAGCGCGCGCGTAGCGAAGCAGAGGTGGGAGCCTGCGGCACGCCCCAGTCGTCGCCGGCGCCATCGGGGCGTCCAGAGCACAGACAGGCACCGTCGCCAGCGCAGCAGTAGCACCTTGGATACCCGGACCGTCCGTCCGACATACCCCGTGGCTTGTTAAAATACTCCAGCGCAGGATGTTGCGCGCTCGCCGACCACGCGCAATACCCCACTACAGGATTTCAAACACATTGGGCGCGCAACGTATTCCAACAATACATCCTGCAGACCAATGCAATACTACAGCATGCAACTACTTCCAACGTCTTCCGACAGTACTACAGCGCGCAACACTTGCTTGGAAACTACTCCCAGCAGATGTCCCCGATCCAAATTCAGAGGAGACCCCCCTGATTTCACGGGTTCGAAAATTCCCAGCATATCCAATGCGTGCCCAAACATATCCCAAAGACCCACGAGCGCCATTTGCGAAATTTCAAAATTTTCCAAGGATATGCCAGCGCCGTCTGCGAAATGGCAAAATACCCCAAAGATGCTCCGGTGCCAATGCCATGTTCGAGTTGCCATGTTCGAATTTTTCTGAAATGCCCCAGAAACGCGCCAATGCAGCTTGCGATCTTGGAGAATATTCACCGATGTGTCCCTGCCATCTGCAAAAATTTTTCGAACACTCCAGAAATGCCCCCGCGGTGACCTCATAGGTTTTAGGGAGACGCTCGCCGACCATTTACGAACATCAAATCACCCCAGGACGCAATGCGTTGCCATCTTGGACAGTTCCAAGTCTTCAATGAGATGTCACCGCGTGTTTTCCGGAAAGCAATGCCTTGGGGTGGGCCCCGTGGCCTTCTATCGGGATCTCGAAATGGTGTGGCAATGCCCCCCCCCTTTCCCCGCTTCGTCCGATATCGCTCCGCTGCGGCATATGATGTATGGGCCCGCTAGCAGTTCACATGGTCTGCGTCAGGGTTGCCAGACGCGCGTCGCGCATTGCTGATGCGGTGCCCACGTGGGCTGAACAGCGTGCCGCTATGTTGCCGAGCGCATGTCGTTCCGCGCCACAGGAGCGTCGGGGCCCCATTTCACGTACCCAATCCCGCTGGGGGGTGGCTCTCAACGCGCGCGCGCATCAAACGAACGATGCGTCCTACGCGCGTTACGCAGCTTCCAGACGGAAGAAAGGCAAGACTATTGCATCTATTTTCTTGATTCCCGTTCACCCGTCCCCGCTTTCTTTGTTGACGAGCATTTGCAACTTGGGACGGGGGGGAGGAGGGTTTGGGGGCGGGGGGCCTGTCGATCGGTCGATCGGAAAATTTATCGATCGACCGATCAATCAAAGGACGAGCTTGCGGCGTTCCGCAAGCCCCCGCGGACCCTTATTGTTATGTTGTGGTGCTTCTCGCTCGCCATCTGCGCGTGTTGCGATCATCGGTTACTTTTGGATCTTCTACACGTTTGGATTGTCCGTTTTTCTCGTTGCTATCCTCGCGTGCCTTCAAAGCACCTGATGCGTCTGTCGCTTGTCCACGAAGTGAACCCAGTGGCAACCGACCGCGTGGAGCCGCCTGAAGGCGCGGCAGGGTCGATTCGCGCCCGCACGAACGCGAAGCCATTGAATGGGCATCGAGATTCTATGGTCACGGAATGCATGCGGCGATCGTTTCTACGCGGCGTTGAAAAAAAGGCGCCCCTTTTGTCTGGCGCGCAGGGCGCCGTGCATTTCTCCGCGCGCCGAAACGCGCGAAGGGGAAATCGCGAAAACAAAACGATCCTTCAGCAAGGACCGCGGTTTTAGTCAAGTATGGAGTGTCCCCTGAATCTGCGTTGAAGTGGTATCACAATCAACGGACACGCATACGTTTTTTTTTTTTTTTTTTTTTTTTTTTTTTTTTTAAAAAAAAAAAAAATATTTTTATATATATATATACATATATACACATATTATGTATATGTATATATATATACATACACAAATATGGACTTTGATTTGTTTCAAGCAGTCGCGTATGGGAGGACATGCCCAACATGATAGCAATGGCCCGAAAACCGACGCCACGCCCACAGGGGGGCAAGGGGAGACGGGGAAGGTTTCTTAGAATCACCCCTGCGTCCGCTCTTTCGGCTCGCCTTCCCGCACGGCGTGGGCGGGGCGGGGCCGCCGCGCGAGTGCAGACTCGGGCTTGCCGTTGTCCCCGCAGTTTCCATGCCATTTCACAGCAATGTCACGACACAGCTGTTCACGCACTGTCGACACCCGTCAGGGACATTTCAGGATGTTCGAGTTTCTGTGTGGGCGAGATTCCCTCGAGGCGTACACGCGCGTCGTTGAAAACATGTATTTCTGGATCCCCAGGTCCCAATCGACCTCAGCCGCATTCGATTCGATGAAGGGTCTTACTTTTTCTCTCCTTTTCGGGGTGGGTGGGCGGGAACCCAGTTTATTTCCACCAGCTTCATGTTTCTACCCGCTTTTTCCGACCGACGGGTACGCCACTCCGCCGACCCCCAGGAGAGGCGGGTGGGTCCACAGTTGAGGTGTCGTGGGCTTTTGTTGGGCACCATCTGGAGACTTTTGTGGCCGTCCTCGCCCCCGTGAACACAGGGTTTTTGGCCGTCTTAGGCCTCGGGACCTCTCCGTAAACGAGCATCGCGACGGCGACGGGAGGTTTTTTGTGCCGTTTTCGGCCGTCAGGGGCAGTCGCCAGGACCAGACATTGGCAAGAGACGACACGGGATGACACAGTGTCCTTGAAGGACCCTGTATGGAAGAAGACATGACAAACGCTGCTCCTCCCCATACCCTGCTCCTCCTGCCTGTGCTGGAGCGCTCCTGCCCTCAGAGGCATCGTTAGGGGAGGTGCATCGACCTCCAATCGCCAATGCATCGCCGCTGAGGAGCGTGCGGACTCGCCATCGGGGGCCTTGCGCCGATCTACCGGCGATGCAGTATCGCCGATTCCAGGTCGATGTCCCCCCCCCTGAGGCCGGCAATTCAGGAGGAGGAGGAGGAGGAGGAGGAGGAGGAGGAGGAGGACGCAAGTGCAGCGTCGCGCTGACCAAGCTGTTTCCAGTCCGCGGGCGCCAGGTGGCCCAGGAGGTGCCGGTCAGCAAGCGTTGGGGGTGCACCGGGAGAGAATGGAAGCACGACGGCGGCAAGGAACAGAGCGCGAGGGGGGAAGGGCGAGGAGCCCGCTCGGTCCATGAGTAAAAATGGTCATGCACGCATCTCGAGTTGCGCGTGTCATCCGTGCGCAGGGGCCATGCCAAGCTTCTCTGCACCGTTCCAGTTGTGACGGATGATCCTCGAAGGGAAGCCCAATGCGCTGACCAAACAACACATTGGCGTCCTGCGCCGAGCGTGATCGGAGGGAGCAGAAGCGACACCAGCACCACCAGGGGGCCCACCTCCAGCGAGGAGGTCCACAATGCCTCCCCGAGCTAGAGGCAAGGGGAGGTCTCGAGGCAAGGGGAGGTCTCGAAAGAGCACCACCAGGGATACTCCTCCTTGCCACCGCGCATCTCCTCGCCCTGGTGGTGTTGGCGTCGCCTCTCCTTGCTCATCTACGTGAGGGGCCACGGGCCACGCGGGAGCCGCGCATCGCGGCGCTGTGCGCGAGGGTGCGAGGGGAGAGCACAAGCCCTGGGCCAGGCGGCCCACGCATGTTTCACCCTTGGGCGACGAGCCGGCGACTACAATTTAGGAGGCGAAAACCCATCCGCACCCCCAGTCCCGACTCTCATGCCTGAGCCTGCGATTCAAGGGGTCGGGATTGGGAGTGGGGGCGTTTTCTCCTCCTGTCTTGGCCCCCGAAAAACCACCCCCACCCCCAGTCCCGACCCCCTGGATCGCGGGTTCGGGGATGGGGTCGGGACTGGGGGTGGGGGTGGCTTTTCGCTTTCCCAACAATTGGTATCGTTACGCCAGGGTGTGGTTGACGATGTCCTCGTCGGGCCTCCTCTGGGCGCGGCGGAGAGCTGTCGAGGTCTTCCCCCGCACCCCAGGGTGCCCCCCAGGGTGCCGGTTGCCAACCACAAATTTTGCAAAGATCGCACTTCGGAGTCACCGAACGAGGCCCACAGGCCCATCCTGGGCCAAGGAGCGGTGCCTACGCCCCACGCTGGCCTGGCCAGGGAGGCATCTATAATCCCAGGTCGAGGGTTCACAGGCCTCCCTTTCCGCCAGATGGGATGGGTCCCAGGGTTCCGCAGGGCCCCCCCCCAGATGAGATGGGGGGTCGACGACGACGACGACGACGACGCCGACGCCGACGCCGTCGCCGACGCCGACGCCGACGCCCACGACGACGCCGACGCCGAAGCCCACGACGACGCTGACGCCCACGCCCACGACGACGACAACGACGACCATGACCACGACGACGACCACGACCACGACCACGACCACGACCTCGACGCCGACGCCGACGCCGATGCCGACCCCAACACTGCCGTCGCCGACAGACGACGACGAAGGAAGACGACGACGAGCCACCCCACACCCACAGGGGGAGGGAGGTGGCGTGCAGGAAGGGGAGGTGCTCCGGCATCCTCCATCACGCCACGCCCACGGGGCCACGACCACAGGGCGGGGGGGGCGGGCGATCCCATTCGCGAGGCCTTCGCGAGGCTCACGGGCGTACACATCCAGCGGGGGTGGGGGGGCTCGATCCCATGTGCATGTCAGGGGGGGGGGAACCCTGCATTATCTACGCTGTCCCTGGGCTCTGGATGGGCTGGCCAGGCACGGGTGGCAATCCACCGTCCATTCTACGATCCTCCCACCATCCCGCGATACGCGACGTGTCGGCCAAGCTCCGATGTCGTTGCCGCTGGACGCGGGAAGCCTGGCCGCCTCTCCCCCCAGCACGGAGGCGAGGGTCGGGGCGAATAGCTCAGGGGGGAGCCATGCATGTATCCAGGGGCGCCTTCTATCCATGTCTCAGGCGAGGCTTCCCCCGCGAATGCGCGTATTGCCCTCCCGCTGAGCTCTTCGCCCCTTCTCGTCGCCCCAGACAGCCGCAGGCTCCCCGGCGAGGTCAAGGGCCCCCTGCTGGACGGCTGGGGCCTGACCAGCGACGAGGAAGCATTCGCTGGGCTTCGCCGTGCGCCACACCCGCCCTGCCAATTGGCAACGACGACGGCACCGACGACGCCGACGACGACGATGACGACGACGACGACGACGCTTGCCGACGACGCCTACGACGACGACGACGTGCAGGGGCGCGGGAAGGACAAAATCACCACAGGGGTTTTGCTTGCTTCGTTTGTGGCCTTTGGGGCCCCTCGCGGGGACCCGGGACCGTATGACGACTCGGGATGACAGAGTGGCCCCTTGCTGCTCCTCGCCATGCCCTGCTCCTGCTCCTGCTCTTGCTGGAGCTGCTCCTGCCCCCAGGGGCAACGGTAGGGGAGGCAGTGGCTCAGGTGGGACGCATCGACCCCCCCATCGCCCCATCGTAGCCGATAGGGGCCCGACAGCCCCTCCTTAGGAGCGCTCGGAAAATCACCATCGGGGGCGGGGGCCTGTCGCGGTTCTATCGGCGATGTGTCGCAGATTCCGGGTCGATGTTCCCCCCCCCCCTAATCCAGACCCCCCCCCTGATGTCCCCCCCCCCCTGGTCCAGTCCCCCCCCCCCCCCCCCTGATGTCCCCCTCAGGGGAGGGCGGGAAGACAGGACGAGATGGGCGGTCCTTGTTTCGGGCCCGTACTGTTGCCCGCCGGCAAGGGGGTGCTTTATAGACGTGGACGACGTTCTTGCCCGCACCGCAGCCCGTCAGCTGTGCTAGCGGGCAAGGGGGGGGCTCCTCAGCGAAATGTCGCATCGGGCGCGAGTCTTCGCCCAAGCGCTCATTCCCCCGTTCGCAGCGGAGGTCGTCGTTATATATCGTCGCCCACGCCGCCGAGCCGCGAGGGTCCCGAAGGGCAATCTCCACCGGGCGCCGCACGCAGGAGGGCGCCCCGCCTCGCCGGGCTCAGGCGGCTTCTACGCCACGGACAGGAGCCTGCGTCCGAGCACGACGTCCCCCCGTTTCCACTCCTCCTCCTCCTCCTCCTCCTCCTCCTCCTCCTCCTCCTCCAGCCCACCCCGGCTCCACTCCTTCCCCTCGCTCCGTCAGCGGAAGAGAAGGAGAAGGGCGAGGGCGGTAGAGAGGCTCACCCTGGCTTGTGAGCCGCCCTCCCCGTGCGGATGACTCATAGTGCACTGGCGAAGTTTCCCAGTCCGCTGCCCTGAAAGTGGCCATTCACGCTGTGCTCTTGCCGCAGCAAGCCATCGAATGCGCACTTTGATATGTCAACGCCATCTTGCTAATGATGCTGCTGGTGGGCAGGTCGATAGTGAAACGAAGAGTGCGCCTAGCGGGGCGGATGTGTTCACACTGGACCCGGACACGCTCGAGTTGCGCAGCACAGGCGCGACTTTTGCACTGCATCTTCGTGCTTGCACTCATTTGGGTTTGCATTGCGGGTGCGTCTGCTTGTGTTGTGTGTGTGAGTGTGTGTGAGTGTGTGTGTGTGTGTGCGCGAGCGCGGGTGTGTCTGTGTGTATTCGTTGTGCAGTTTGTGCGTGCATGGTTGCGTGTTGTTGGCCTGAAGATGATAACGCGCAGTTGTGTGTGTGTGTGTTGTGAAGTGTCTTTGCCAAAGACCTCGGCCGCTTTCGCGAGGCCAGGGCCACGGCCCTGGAAGGCGCCTCCGCGGGGTGATCTCAACATCGCGCGGGGCAGAGGAGGCATCGTGTTGGGACGGTGCACATGGTAGCTTGGAGATTCGCCCCTCGTGCTTGGATCCGACCTCTCGTAGGCCGAAGCCTACCTACTCGTCGCATTCCCACTCCAGCCCTCACATCCTCGGCCCGGCTGGGCCCCGCCTCCAGCCCGCATCGTCGACGACGGTGTGCCGTTGGAGATGCTGAACGAGCTGGAGGCAAGCGGGGGACTGCAACATGGAGGAACACACGCGTCCGTCCGTTCGGACATTTAAGTCTCAGTAGGGGAAGTCAAACAGACACGAGGAAGCGCTGACTTCCAGGAAACTATAGGAAGAATATGGAAGATTGAGGGGACGATGAACAAATCTATAAAAATACGGGGAGTCATGGAATAGGTACCGATTTTGCCAAGTGACTTGTACCATTCCGCTGGCCCGCAGAAGGAATCAGTGATTGCGTTGATCGTGGAAGTTCCCTAGTGGGTCAGCAGCCTATTGTGTGCACATATGGGCCTCTCGGGATGCGTCTCAGGGGCCTACTGAAGGGCGGGACTTTTGGGGCTTCTCGGGGGCCTCTTGGGGACTTCTTTGGAGCCTCATGGAGTCCTCTTGGGGCCTCTTGTGGGTGCCTTGGGGGCTTCTGGGGGGCTCTTGGGGCCACCTTCGGGGGAAAGGCTCGAAATGTCAGTTCGTATTTCCCCTCTTTGGCCCCTCTTAGGGCCCTCTTCGAGCTCCCTTGGGCCGTCTTAGGGGCGCCTGCGGCCGTCTTGGGGACCTCCCTCTTGGGCTGTCTTGGGGCTCTCTTGGAGGCCTCATCGGCCGTCTTGGGACGATCTGTGGTGCCCCTCGTGCCGACTTGGACGCTGTCGAGACGAAAAATGCGAGCATACTAAAACTGCACTTCGTCCTCAGTGAGTAGGACGGTGTTTGCCTCTTGAGGCCCTCTCGGCGGTCCTCTGGGAGCACTTTTGGGCCGTCTCGAAGCCATCTTAGACCGTCGTGGGGATACCAATGGGCCGTCTCGGCGCTCTCTTTTGGACTGTCTTGGCGCTCTGTTTGGGTCCTTGGGGGCCACCTGGGGCCTGTTTTGAGGCGCCGGAGGCCCCGGGAGAGGCTTTGACGAGCTGGTAGGGGGACCTCCGTCTCCCCTCAAACTGTATGTTTGACCACGTGAGAAAACAAGGGGGGAGGGAGACAGGCAAGTATCTCCCACGCCTTTTCGCCCCTGGCCAGCGGGTGTCGGCGGATGTGTGTCTCCCTGGGCTCCTTCAACGTCATAACACAACGTCAGGTCAGAGCCACGATGGGTCCGGGCGGGGCCATTTCAGGGACAACTGCTGATCTGAGCCTCCCGTGTGTGTACTGGTTCCTTCCCGTATCTACTCCATGGGACATGTTTGATGATGCATCTGACCTCAAGGGTCATGCAAATATAGTCGCATGTGCCATGAAAGAGAGTAGTCGTTTGGTCGGACCGAGTATCCTGACCCCCCTGTCCCAGAGATCCACGATTCCCTGGCAGTACAAATTACAGGTGGAGGCTGCGATTCGGCATCCCCCTTCATCCCTGCTCTTGCTTCCCTCTTTCCCAGGCGGAGCACATTCTGTCGTTGTGGTTATGGCTTTTCTTATCACAGTGGGGGCGCCGCAACAAGGAAACCTGTTGGTTCAGAACGGTTTCGGGGCTCCTTAGGCTTCTGCAGCGCCAACACCTCGGCCTGAACGAGCTAGAATGGACAAGGGCGGCCCCGCTAACTAGTGGACGTTATAGTCGCCATGGTCTTGCCAGCGTCAGCAATTTGGACAGAGCCCAGGCATTGAAATGCACAGAGTTGGGGGGTGGACTCGGATGGCAAGCGGACGAGACGTCCGCTGGCGGCCGCCAGGTGGTCGACGGTGAGCTCTGGGCCAACTTGTACGGTAGCGACTGCCTGGCGCGCATATCCTTAGGCGATTGTTACCGCTTGCCAGGGAGGAGGAGGAGGAGGAGGAGGAGGAAGAAGAAGAAGGAGGGAGGAGAAGAATGAGGGCAGGTGTCAGAGAAATCGGAGTATGCAGGAGGGTCAGATCTTTTTCAAGGCTTGTCCTCCTCCTTGTCCTCCCGCGCCCGTTTCCGTCCTGCTATGGGTGTCCCATCGCCAATACAAACAAGCACTAATCTAGTACTCAATGGGTAGAATGCGTTCGCAGCAACAGCAGCCTGCAGAGACCCATCCCCGCACTCGAGACGAACTGTCAGCTGAGCGGTTTGCCAGCGCCTCGCCCGGACGAGTCATGGTTTGCGTCTCACGAGTATCACATGGCGGGTTTATCTTGTTCTAGAATCGTTTCTGATGCGCCTGTCCAGTGCACTCTTCCCCACAAATGCTCCTATTTACTGTGCCCTCCCGTTGCTTGCCTCAACGCCATCATCCTTTTCCTCCTCCTCCTCCTCCTCCTCCTCTTCCTCCTCCTCCTCCTCCTCCTCCTCCTCCTCCTCCTCCTCCTCCTCCTCCTCCTCCCCCCTCTCCACCTCCTCCTCCTCTTACTTCTGCTCCTGTTCCTCCTTCTCCTCCTCGTCGTCCCCCACTACTCCTCGTATCATTCCTGAGGAGCAGGAGGAGGAGGAGGAGGAGGGAACGAGGAGGAAGATCGAATTTCGGAGCTAGGATTTTCCGTGAGAACGTTCCTGAGGCATCAGTCGTAGTAGTCGTCATAGTCGCAATCGTAGTCGTAGTTGTCGTCGTGTTTGTTGCGCGGCGGGTGCATCGGAAAAGAATAACTAATTACCCCTATTGGTGGGACCCCAGTCCTTCAATAAGGTCGCTGAAACAATGATTCCATACTCCCTATGGGGGAGGAGGGGTCTGAATCCCTGCCCAGTTATCTCCCTTGTCAAAACAGTACGAAGTGCACACGCCAGCATTGCGCTATGCGATGGAACCACCTTATCTTCTTGATGGCGGGGTGTAATAAATTTCTTTGTGCCCACCATCTTTGTCAGGAGCCGTTGCGAGGTGGTTAATGTTGCACGCCGCGCACGGTGCTTACCATCCCGCCGTCGTGTTTTTGTTGCCATTCGGCGGCAGGTTGGCGCTACTAGTCTTCGCGTAGGACCTCGCGCTCCGTTCGCGCGCCCCGCGTGCCGTGACCCGCCTCGTGCCCCCGCGGAATGACGACAGAGTTGTTCCAGCGTGCTGTAGCCACGAGACCCCAGGAGTACCCAGTGAGCCCTAGTCCCACATCTTCGTTCTCGCCAGACGATGGCAGAACCGACGGTATATCCGAATGGAAGACACAAGAGCAGACCCTCATACTTGGCATCGACAGCTCACTTGCATGAGACACAGGCGCAGCGCGTATGGCACAGGCGTGCATGAAGAGTCGCAGAGCAGACCAGGCACAGGCAGTACACATGAATACCACACGCCGACAACGAGTATACAAGACCATCCTGGCAGCACTACATGTGTCAATCGCATGTGCCGCTCGTGTCTGCGACATGCAATACTACACATGTCAAACGAGTGCACCAAACATGAGTACACACCTTACATGGACACACCAGCACACACAATATCCAGCACACCAGATGAGCACGTCAGGCACAGCTATCACGCACGACGCACGTGCCCAGACAACGTGCATGCCCACAGTAGGCATGACCATACGGCCACTGAGCTTTGGGAACGACAAGCATAGAGAGCTAACGTACGTATCACACGAGCAAGCGCGCAAACCAGGCGTACATGTCATGCCAAACTACGATGCGTGTATGACGCACGCGTTTAGATACCGTTCGTCGGCAACGCATCCATGGAACAATATGATCAGTCACACGATTTGTCATCCACACCCTTTGCAAGTGCCAGGGTTAATGTCACCCTCGGCACATGAACACCATTTCGTAGCACGCGCCATTTAACACCATTTTTGCACGCGCTATTGAACACCATTGCAGAGACACTGGCTTTGCGTGCCTGTCGAGCACACGGATCATGTGCGCCTATACATATGTCTGACACACAGAAGCATCACACCGAACACAAGACATTACGCAATTGTCGTGCGAACATGGGCGAGTATCGTACTTGCGTATGCAACGAGTGTGCGTCCAGTGTAGACGGGTGGTAGTGATAGAGTTCGAACATATTCGCAGCAGCTCGTTGGTTGGGGATCGCCCGGAGCATAACTTGTTTTTTCGTAATAGATGGTGGTGTTGTTGCCATGTGTTTGGATATGCTCTGTCACGTGTGTTTGAGCAGCTGGTGCACTCGATGCGTGTCGCACAGCTGAAACAGTTGGCGCGCGCGGGGCCATTGGCTCGCGCGTTGCACCTGCGCAACTGGCGCACCTCGCTCGCCAAGCCGGCGTCGCGCACTTGGAGTGCCTTGCTGATTTGGCGCGATTGGCGCACCAGTCGTACTTGGCATGCTTGGGGCACGTGGCGCACGCGGCGCGCGTATCGCACATGGCGTTGCACACGCGTTTTCCGGCTGCTGTCCATTGGATGGCGACCGCCGCGAGTGCCGAACTTCGGTCGTTGCTTCTGTGTTGTGGTGCGGCTTCTCCTCCTTCCTTCATCATCCCTCACGCATCTCCTTGTACCCCCGTTCATCATCCCCCCATGCCTGTTCCGCTTCTGTTTCCCACATCGGTTCCGCATGCTCTCCTCTCCCCACCCTTGTGAAATTCTTTTCACGTGTGAGGGTACCCAGACAGTGCATGTGCCGTGGGGACGAATGGGCATCCCAGAATCATCGGCTTCTCTGCCACTGGCATCTAGCGATTTCTTGTTGCCCGTTGGTGTTGGATGGCAATCGTTCATGTACATCGCGACGTGCACAATCGCCAAAAGCACACATGATGGGGAGATTTGTTCTTAATAATTCAATGGTTGCGCTCTTGCCTGCAGCCGCATTTAGTGCCAAATGGGACTATTGAAGGGGATGACGCTGAGTAGAAGGAGATGGAGGAGAAGGAGGGCGAAAGCAAAGTGGTGGGGTCCTGACGTTTGCCTTTCCCTTACTTCTCGGCTCCGGGTGCTTCGTCCCTTGATCGGTATGTTTGAGAGGTGGCGTTTCGAAACAATACTTAATTTTCCTTCGCCCTCATCCTTCCTCGTCTCCCTCCCCCACGCCCAGGCCCTACCTCCTCTTTGTTCCCTCCTCCCGCTTTGCTCTTCCCTCCAAGCCCCTCTACCCTCTCGATTTTATCGCCCCCTATCCTAGTCCTTATTCCCCCCTCCATCCCTCTTGCTGCCCCAACTTGCTCCTCGGCGACAAGGAAGCAGGGGCGAAGGGGGGGGCGAGATGGGGGAGGAGGCTCGGAGGCGACTCTACGGGGGAATAGCCCAGGGGGGGAGCAATGCATGTATCTAGGGGCGCCACTGGTCTTTGTCTTCTGAGAGCCTTCCCCGCGAATACGTGTATTGCTCTTTCCTGGGCCATCCGTCCCCATCGTTGCCCCTGCGAGGCGAGCGAGAGAGAGAGAGAGCTCCCGCGCCCCAGATGGATCATGGTCTGTGCTGGGCTGGGTGGCCCCGGGCGCGCGCGCGCGCGCTCCTGCGCGAAGCTCGCGTCAGCGCCCGAGGGACCGGGGCCTCCTGTTTCGGCCGCCTCCTCATCCCTCACCTGGTCGAGTTCCTCTTCCTCAGTCCTCCTCCTTCTCTCCCTTCTCCTCTCGGGGGGCGCCAGAAGTCGACTTCACGTAACAGCGACCTCTCGCTGGAGTGACCTTTGGTGCGTGCACGATGGGGTCACCAGATGAGATTGAACGCGATGCGATCGCAGCGTCCTGCGCGCGCGGGTGTGGCCCCCTCCCGCGGCCCTCGAAGGTGGCGCACTGAAGGTCGCGCTTGCCTAGGGTCACTCTCGCGTGCAGCCGACCATAGCACACCTGCGCCTCCAAGGTCAGGCCAGTCACGTGTCCACGAGCAGTGCATCCGCCTTCGGGCCCAGGCAGGGGCCTGGCTCATCATGGTCCTGGCCTGGACGGGAGTTGGTTTAGAGTTAACGCTCTGCTGTCGTCCTCCTCGTCATCGTTCTCATCCTCGTTGTCGTCGACGTCGCTACTATCCTGACACCACTCCTTGAAGTGCCTCAGGTGTGCTGCTTGCTACGCGACATGCGCATGAATAAGTCATCAGGGCAATATAGAAGTCGTGTATATGGCCATTCCCTCCCATTTCCACGGCAAATTCCTTCTGAGCTTGATCACGCTGTTCCAGCCCGAGGGATGTTCCCGTGCCTCTTCGGTCCAATGGCCAGATCTGTTTCATACAGGTCAGCCCAAAAAATCTCTTGCTTCGATTTGTTTGCTGTTGTCGCCTGGTTAACTCCTACTCCCATTCCGGCGACTGCGGAGTGAGGTGGATGGAGACCGAGGGTCGAAGCCGGAGGATGGAATGCGCTCTCTTGCCCAGGTGGTCTGTGTGCGGTCTACGATGACGTACGTTAGCATGTGGCAGAGTTCAAGCAGAGGTCTTTGTGGGGTCGGGCTTCTTGCCGACTTCACCTCTGCTTCAGTTTGCTCGTCACTTCGGGTGTCCAGGCTAGCAGTCACGGGCGGCGGTGGTAAAATCTGGGATCACGCGTTCCTCCTCTTCCTCCACCTCCTCCTCCTCCTGCTTATCCTCTTCCCCCCCCCCCGCCCTCAGCACATACCTCGCTTGCCCAGGTGGTGCTCTCGGACATCATGGACCGCCGCCAGGCCTTTGAAGCAGCCGTGCGGGCTCGACGGGATCCGCCAGACGTATACGCAAAGGCTGTCGCCGAGCCATTCGCTCTCGGCTAGCAGGGAAGAGAATGGCGCAATCGCCGCCATGCTGAACTGTTGGCGTGTCCTCTGAGAAGGTGCTACACGATCAACTGATTCGCGAACAGTGCTGGCACAAGCAATATATTTATTGGCCCCTCAAGAATGACACCCAGCGGCTGCTATATTCTAGTATTTCCCCTTGCGGTTCGCGGAGATATGCCCCTCCCCCCCCACGGATTTCCCCGATTGTGGTCGCAATTGCGTCCCCTGGAGTGCTTCCTATGCGTTGTCGGATGATTTCTCCCCTGCGGATCTCTGTTCTGTCTGACATGTGCTACCCTTCCGAAGGGTATCCGAATGACGGTCGGATGGCAGGCCCCCGCTGCGCACGTGATATGTTTGGAGCCCACGCGTTGGCCGTGGCCGGCGCCTGCCGGAGACCCCCTGGCGGCCCCGACCCAGAGGCCGCGGCCTGCGCCCAAGCTCAGAGTGCTCTCGAGCCCGGACGGGGGAGGAGGATCGAAGAAGGAAAACAATGCTGAACATAAATGTTTGGCGCTCCGCGCGGATTTCTTGAATCCACGCTGTGGCCCCACCCGGCGGCGCCTCCGGCGCTGCCCCTGGCGAGCTCCGCGCGCCAGGGAGGGGGTCCACCGCAGATCCAGGAAATCCGCGCGGACATTCAAATGTTTATGTTTATGTCGTTTTTTCTCCCTTCAAAGAAGGGCCAGGACAACCAGAGACAGAGCCGTGGAAGAGCGGACAGCAAGAAGGGCAAGACGAAGGAGGAGGGCAGGAACAAAAAGAGCCGGAGGAACCAGATATTCGATGCCGTTGTTTTGCTTTTCCAATACGGCCCCCCCCGAAGTCTCGACCCATCCCCGCGGTCTGGTTTTCTCCTCGCACATCCTGGGGCCCGGCGAGGGCCTCTGGAGGCCGAGAACGGCGAGAAACTTCTGTCCTCATTGTTGTCAGTGCGCTGGATCTCTGTGTAGGGGGAGGACGAGGAGTAGGACCGACGATCGAGGAGGAGGAGGAGGAGGAGGAGGAGGAGGGGGAGGGAGGAGGAGGAGGAGGAGGGTGGAGGAGGAGCAGGATCAAGGGCCGGGGAGGAGAGGTCGGGGCGGCGCTGGCGCGGCTCGGGCGGGGGGGGGGGGCGGGCGCGAGGGGAGGCCGCGCGCGCGGGCCCCCTGTGAAACCAGCTTTTCCGACATTTGGGCCGCAGTTGGACCGCCCCGTTGGCCGCAGTTGGTCCTCCTCGCCCTTCCTGCTCCTCACCCTCATCGTTCTTCTGGTCTCCCTCGCGAAGGGGCGAGCCTGGTCCAAGTGTGGTCCAAATCCGGTCCCGTATGTGTTCCAAATCTGGTCCAAGTCAAGCACGCATCGGACAGTTCCAGGGGCCACGCTGCTGCCTCCTCACTCCCTGGGCGCCGGGAAAAAAGTGTGGCTCCGGAGGCCAGGATTGTACTCAGATGATCATAACTAGTTCTGGTAGTTGTGGGGAAGTTGTGGCAGATCATGTAAACTTGATATTCTAGATCTTAACTTGATCTTCCAGATCTTAACTTGATCTGCTGGATCTTACATAACTTGAACGGTGCAAATTGTGGAAGATACGGACTTGAGTTGTTCGTGTGTTTGTTTTCAAGATGTTACGGGAAGTTAGGTTGTGGAGTGGTTCTAGTTGTTGAAGTTGCGTGCTAGTGAGTTTGGTTGTTTTATTTATGTTGACATTTTGTGGTATAGCACATGCGTTGCGAACATAGCTGTTCTACAAATTCTTTATTCTTTAAACAGAAGGCTGCGTTATGCCTGCCCCCATAGCGCTGTATTGACGTTTTGTTTCTCGAGCGCTTTGCGCTGCCAGCGCTTCATGCTTTCATGTTTTTTTGGCATGTATTCGTACTCGTGGCATTCGTCGTATTCGATGTAGTAGTAGCGTCACTAGTAGCATTACTATTATTATTCCCAACCCTCCTTGGTTGGGTATTCGTTTTGAATAGAGCAGTGTGGTCGCGTCCTTCCTCCTCCCGCCTCCCGCCTCTTTCCTGCCTCTTTCTGTCTTGCCTGCGGGGGGCTGCGATCTGTGAAACTGTCGCCACTTTCGAGGCCTGCTGGGGGGCCCAGCACAGTGAGGGCGTTGCGCGGACCCAAATTAGACCTCGCCATTCCTGGGGGGCTGCGATCTGTGAAACTGTCGCCACTTTCGAGGCCTGCTGGGGGGCTCAGCATAGAGGGTAATCGCGGCAGATTCAAATTAGACCTCGCCATCCCTGGGGGGGGGGGGGCTGCGATCTGTGAAACTGTCGCCACTTTCGAGGCCTGCTGGGGGGTCCAGCATAGAGGGTAATCGCGGCAGATCCAAATTAGACCTCGCCCTCCCTGGGGGGCTGCGATCTGTGAAACTGTCGCCACTTTCGAGGCCTGCTGGGGGGTCCAGCATAGAGGGTAATCGCGGCAGATTCAAATTAGACCTCGCCATCCCTGGGGGGCTGCGATCTGTGAAACTGTCGCCACTTTCGAGGCCTGCTGGGGGGTCCAGCATAGAGGGTAATCGCGGCAGATTCAAATTAGACCTCGCCATCCCTGGGGGGCTGCGATCTGTGAAACTGTCGCCACTTTCGAGGCCTGCTGGGGGGTCCAGCATAAAGGGTAATCGCGGCAGATTCAAATTAGACCTCGCCATCCCTGGGGGGCTGCGATCTGTGAAACTGTCGCCACTTTCGAGGCCTGCTGGGGGGTCCGGCATAAAGGGTAATTGCGGCAGATTCAAATTAGACCTCGCCATCCCTGGGGGGCTGCGATCTGTGAAACTGTCGCCACTTTCGAGGCCTGCTGGGGGGCCCAGCACAGTGAGGGCCACGCGCGGATTCAAATTAGACCTCGCCATCCCTGGGGGGCTGCGATCTGCGAAACTGTCGCCATTTTCGAGGCCTGCTGGGGGGCCCAGCACAGTGAGGGCCACGCGCGGATTCAAATTAGACCTCGCCATCCCTGGGGGGCTGCGATCTGCGAAACTGTCGCCATTTTCGAGGCCTGCTGGGGGGCCCAGCACAGTGAGGGCCACGCGCGGATTCAAATTAGACCTCGCCATCCCTGGGGGGCTGCGATCTGCGAAACTGTCGCCATTTTCGAGGCCTGCTGGGGGGCCCAGCACAGTGAGGGCCACGCGCGGATTCAAATTAGACCTCGCCATCCCTGGGGGGCTGCGATCTGCGAAACTGTCGCCATTTTCGAGGCCTGCTGGGGGGCCCAGCACAGTGAGGGCCACGCGCGGATTCAAATTAGACCTCGCCATCCCTGGGGGGCTGCGATCTGCGAAACTGCCGCCATTTTCGAGGCCTGCTGGGGGGCCCAGCACAGTGAGGGCCACGGGCAGATTCAAATGAGACCTCGCCATCCCTGCGGGGCTGCGATCTGTGAACCTGTCGCCACTTTCGAGGCCTGCTGTGATCCCCGTTTTCGAAGTGGCTAGGAGTGCTCAGGAATTGTAAATCATCAGCTTTATCAAGCCCTTTTCCTGTAGCCAGTGTCCTGCGAGTCTCCCGAATTCCGTCTGCAGACATATGTAACCCTCGCTCCGTCATCGCCCCCTTATAAAGTATCCTAAACTATTTGCGCCCCGCTTTTGCGCAGGGGTTGGGTACGTCGCCAGGGTAATAGTAGTAGTAGTAGTAGTAGTAGTAGTAGTAGTAGTAGTAGTAGTAGTAGTAGTAGTAGTAGTAGTAGTAGTAGTAGTAGTAGTAGTAGTAGTAGTATAGTAGTATAGTATAGTATAGTATAGTATAGTATAGTAGTATAGTATAGTATAGTATAGTATAGTATAGTATAGTATAGTATAGTATAGTATAGTATAGTATAGTATAGTATAGTATAGTATAGTATAGTATAGTAGTAGTAGTAGTAGTAGTAGTAGTAGTAGTAGTAGTAGTAGGAGTAGGAGTGGCAGTCGTAGTATGAGTCGTGTAAACGTAGTAGTAGTCGTATTTGTAGTAGTAGTAGTCGTAGTAGTAGTAGTAGTAGTAGTAGTAGTAGTAGTAGTAGTAGTTGTTGTAGTAGAAGTAGTAGAAGTAGTAGTAGTAGTAGTAGTAGTAGTAGTAGTAGTAGTAGTAGTAGTAGTAGTAGTAGTAGTAGTAGTAGTAATCGTAGAGGTCGGCGTCGACGTCGCAGTCTTGGACGTGATAGAGCTCGTGGTGTGGATCTCGTATGCTTCTGCCCCATGTTCGGAATTTGCGAAACGTGAAATGGTGAGAACCCATATGCCCTGCCTCGAGTTGTTCATGATGTTGTTACTCGGTATAAGAAGGTAGCAGCTTCGATTCGTATTTTGCTCCGCGGTGATAACGTTCGGTCTTGTCGCCCTTCTTCCATGACCAACTCTGTCTCCCCCCGAGATCATCAACTCTCAGAGGTCAAGGGTGGGGATGATTTATTATCCTGGGCGGTCGGTTCAGGTGCGCGTGGCACAAGGTGCCCCCCACCATGCCGCTCCATGTTGGAGTCCCTGGGGCCCCCTGGGCCTCGTGAGGGGAACTCTGGAGACCGTGGGGGCCTCCATTAAAATCCTTTTGGGCACCTTGTGCCAAGGGCCGTTCTAGCAACACCTTGTGCCAGAGGAGGAGGCGGATGAGGAGGAGGAAAAGGAGGAGGAAAAGGACTCTGCTGATGATGACGAGGAGAAAGAGGATGAGTACATCAATGAAGATGACGAGGATGATTTTGGCGATATTGGTGATGATGATGACGATCAGGCGGAGGAGGAGGAGGAACTGGAGGAGGAGGATAAGGCGGGAGATAATGAGGAAGAGACGTCCACCTCCTCCTACTCCCCCTCCTCCTCCCTCTCCTTCTCCTCCTCCTCCTCCTCCTCATTCTCCAGTCCATCATCATCAGCATCTGCATCATCATCATGATCATCATCATGATCATCATCGTCATCGTCATCGTCATTGTCATCATCATCATCAGCATCATCACCAGCATCACCATCATCCATATCATCACCAACATAACCATCACAATCACCATCACCATCTCTGTCACCATCACCATCGCCGTTTTGATCATCAACACCATCATCATCATCATCATCATCATAATCAGCCTTTACAACAGCATCAACAACGGCATCATCAGCAGCATCAGCATCATCAGTATTATCATCCCAATGCTCATCATCGGCATCATCATACCCATCACCACCACCACCATCAGTATCATCAGCAGCAGTACCACCATCATCATCATCATCATCATCATCATCATCATCATCATCATCATCATCATCATCATCATCATCATCATCATCATCATCATCATCATATCAGCATGTCTTCATCAGAAAGAGCGTGTTCTACCGCTGCTGGCGGAAAACCGGGGGGGGGGGTCACTACCGGTTCGAACCCCTCCCCCCCCCCTTCCGGAAAACCGGGGGGGTCACTACCGGTGCGAACCCCTCACCCCCCTCCCCTCAATTCATCATGAAAAGGGGGGGGGGGTCACTACCGGTTCGAACCCCCCCCCCCCCTTTGAAAACCGGGGGGGGTCACTACCGGTTCGAACCCCCCTTCCCCCCCCCCCCTCGAAAACCGAGTGGGGGTGCGGACAGTGGTAGGGGACAGTGGTGAGGGGACAGCGGGACAGTGGTGGGGACAGTGGGACAGTGGGACAGTGGTGGGGACGGTAGTGGTGGGGACAGTGGTGGGGACAATGGTGGGAACAGGGGGGGACAGTGGACAGTGGTGGGGACGGTGGTGGTGGGGACAGTGGTGTGGGGACAGTGGGAATGAGGTGGAAACAGTGGGACAGTGGAGGGTACAATGGTGGTGGGGACAGTGGTGAAGGCGGTGGCGAGGACGGCGGTGGGACAATGGGACAGAGGTACAGTGGAGACAGTGGTGGGGACAGTGGGGACAGTGGTGGGAACAGTGGGACAGCTCAGTGGGACAGCGGAGGAGTCAGTGGGACAGTGGGGACAGTGGGAATAGTCGGGCAGTGGTTGGGGTCGTGGAGACAGTGGGGAGAGTGGAACCGTTGTTGGAACAGTGGTGGGGACAGTGGGGACAGTGCGACAGTGGTGGGGGTACTGGTGGGGACAGTAGGGACGGTGGTGGAACCAGTGGTGACAGTGGTGGTGAGGACAGTGGTGCTGGGAACAACAGTGGGGGATGTGATGCGGACGGTGGTAGGGACCGGGAGTCGTTTGCTGGCGGTGCCTGTGGGGGGGGGGGGGGTCGTTTGGGCGGTGAGTGGGGGAGGGGTTCGAACCGGTAGTGACCCCCTCCGGTTTTCGAGGGGGGGGGGGGGTTCGAACCGGTAGTGACCCCCCCCCCCAGGGGGGGGGGGAGGGGTTCGGTTTTTCGAGGGGGGGGGGGGGGGGGGAGGGTTAGGGTAGGGGTGGGTTTTGCCCGGGGAGGGGGGGGGGGGGGGGGGGGGGGGTTTCCAGCAGGGTGGGGGGGGGGATTTTCGGAGGGGGGGGGGGGGCTAACCCCGGTTCCGGAGGAAAAGGTTGGCAATTTTCCACAGTAAAGCGGCGGTGGATCACGTTCTCTCCTTCTCATCATCATCATCATCATCATCATCATCATCATCATCATCATCATCATCATCATCATCATCATCATCATCATCATCATCATCATCATCCTCATCCTCATCCTCATCATCATCATCATCATCATCATCATCATCATCATCATCATCATCATCATCATCATCGCCATCATCGTCATCATCGTCGTCATCGTCATCGTCGTCGTCATCGTCATCAACACCACTACCACCACCACCACCATCATCATCATCATCATCGTCATCATCATCTTCATCATCATCTTCATCATCATTATCCTCCTCCGTGTTCTCCTCCTCCCCCTTCTCCTCCTCCTGCGGGAAACTTCTGGGGTTCCCCATGGGTCTCGGTCGAGCGTTGTCCTTGGTCCGTGGTCCGATTATCTTCTGGTTGTGCTCTCGCGAAGTTCCGAGTTTCAACCTTTTGTCGCCGCTGGTTGTCGTGAGTCCTTGCAGTTGCGGTTGATGTCAGAGACAGTTCCTCCCTCTTCTGCCCTCCTCGACCCTTAATAATCCTCCTTGATCGTCGATCTTCGATCCTCCTCCTCCTTCTCCGCCTCCTCCTTCTCCTCCTCCTCCTCCTCCTCCTCCTCCTCCTCTCGGCTGTTATTTCCCAGAGAAGCGGCACCCGCCCAGCTGTTGCACTCCGGACCCGCGCCTTCGAGGACGACCGAGCCGAGACTCTTTTTCCTCCCCCTCCTCCTCCCCTCGACCTTCGAACCTTCTCCCTCGATCCTCAATCCTCCTCGATCCTCCTCCTCCTCCTTCTCCTATTCCTCCCCTCAATCGCAGACCCTCGGTCCTCCTCCTCGATCCTCGATTCTCGCTCCACCTCCTCGATCCTCGACCCCCCTGCTCGATCCTCCTCCTCCTCGATCCTCGACCCTCGATCATCTCCCTGGAGCCTCGATTCTCCACAATTTGTATACACAATTTGAATACTAATCTTCTCTCTCTGTCTCTTGATGACGTCCAGGAAATATTCCCCGGAACCTGGTTCACGCTTGGGTTTTGTTTGTCAACATGTTGCCCCCGCTGAGGCGCTGGCCTCATTCAGGCTTCCGCTCGTTCCGAATCGCGCCTCCGCTGCAGCGTTGGCCTCATTTCCTCCTTCCGCTCGTTCCGAATCGTACTCCCGCTGCAGCATTGGCCTCATTTCCGCGCCTCCGCTCGTTCCGAATCGTACTCCCGCTGCAGCGTTGCCGTCATTATTTCAAGTGCCATGCCATGGCATGGTTCTCGGTCCTTTCAAATCAGCACCAACATCAAAACATCGGAAGATATTACACATTCGGTGTCGGTTCTTTGATTTTTTGGGTCGCAAAATCCCCCCCCCCCACTGGGGCGTCGCCACGCCATGGTATGTCATGCTACGCGTTGATCTTCAACACCATGATCTGCCGTGTAATGCTATGCCACGCTGCGACATCCGACTGTGCGAGTAGAAAGGAGATCTACGCCAAGGTAAGGGATGGGAGGGACGGGTAGGACGTCAGGTATGACCCGAGCGCACCCAGCTTGTCCGGTACCCCCTCTGCCGATGCCCGGCGGCTGGGAGCCTGCAGCTACAGCAGCACGCCCAGCCCAGCGGCTTGAACGGCATCGCCTGGAGCTCCGAGGAGCGGCGCCTCTTCGTCGCCGGCTCGGGGCCCTCTGGTGCTCGGAGGAGGAGAGGGCACAGTTTGGTCGTCGAAAGTGGGTGCTTCTGGATTCCCAGGTCCCAGTCTGGGAGCCGCGTGGGGCGAGGGGAAGCAGAACAGGAGGAGGCGAAAGCGGCGAATGTGGAGTTCGAGGAGGTGGTGGAGGCGGGAGCGGGAAGCGTGTCGGAGGTGTAGGAGCAGGATGGGCAGCAGCTGCAGAAGGGGTCATGAGCGCGGGGCAGAGGAGGTGCAGGCAGATGCAGGTGATGATGGGGATCTACAGTCGAGGATCGGGGGCAGGAGGGGGATGACGAGGAAGACGACGAGGGGAGGAATGGCACACGGTGGACCAGGAAGAGGATGAGGATAAGGAGGAAAAGGAGGAGGCGCAGGAGGATTGTAAGTTATGATGCTCCAACCTACTTTAGTCTCGATCACCAGAAACAATTTCGAGCACAAAGAAAGAACCGAAACTGGAGGGTTTTCACGTGTCGGGCCCTGGGAGGCGATACTCGTTCGACACTGTTTCGATACGTTTTCCTGGGTGCTCGATATTGTTTCTGGGATGTGGTCTTTAATTACGACGGGAGCAACATAAACTGTGAGGAGCACAGGGATGACCCGGAGCTTGAGCACTTGAACAGAAGGCGGACGGGAAGGGGAAGTCAGATTGCGCTGAGGTCACGGGCAAGTTGTGGCCGCGGCTCTACGAGATCGAAGTGGCGCCACGGAGTAGCTGATCCTACGGTGGTCAAGGGTGAGTTTCGGGTGTGGGTTTATGGGTGATCCGTCCTCTACCTTTCTCCCCATTTCATCGGCAGATGCGACTGTTTGATGCGTAGTTTCTGCAAATACTTCCATGCTCTTTCTCCAAGGTCGCAGTGTGATATCACTCTCTCTCTCTCTTCCTCTCCCTTTTTCGGCAGAATGCTGAAAGTTCGTCTGTTTAGCAAAAGGGTCGGGAGCGAATCAGGGGGGCCACTAGGGAGTGTTTAGCAGAAACACTCATAGCTGTTTCGATGACGTCGACGCACCTCGGCAGACGGCACAATGCTCCCGCGGTCGCAGAGGATGCACGACTAATTGAGTGGCCGTTTCGTAGGCGCGCGCTCATTGGAAACACATTTCGAGCAGATGCGGGGCGTCGGTCGACACGCCGTCAAACTTGGAAACGTGCTTTGGTCTAATCAGGCGGCTGACAAAGGCGATCAGCCGAATCATTTGTCACAGACGATTGTGCAAGCTGTTGAGTGTTTCGCGAAAGGGCTGCCCCGAGTAGCGCAATCGTTTTGAACATGGGCAATTGCGTGCCAAGTCTCGCCAGGCATACGAACATGTTGCAAGCGACAAACCATTGCATTGCAACCAGGTGAGCCACAAACTAACGATTCGCAACCATTAGGGCCACAAACGATTGCAGTGCGGTTTCGAGAAGTCCAGCCCCTGGGAGCGACCTAGATCCAACACTGCGTGTACATTCCATGATCCCCTTTTTCCCCTCTGCTGTTCTATTACCTCAAAACGTGTGCGTCATGACGCAAGTAACCTCAGGCGTTTCTCTTAAGGGCCTCGCGACACTGTTGCCAATTTCTGTGTCTCACTTGCTGTGTTTAGATGTCCTGTGTTTTTGTTTCTCCATTTTTCCAGCCTCTCTCTTCGGAGAGGATTATAGGAATGTGAGCGAGTATCAGAGTGAGCACAGCTACTGCAAGAGAGCGTCGGCGTGAAATTGAGCAGCTCTGTGAACGGGGAGCACAGCCACCCCGTCTAGAGGCCCCAAGCAGCATTTGCCATGGTTTGCGGTGAAGTTTGCCAGACACTCTGACCGACCACCAGATCGCGGTCTCCCTGTTCTGTGCACTTTTGCGCTAGGCATTTCCCGCTTTTCCCGCTCACTCATTTCAGGAGTAGCTTCCATACGTGATTCTGTAGCATCCCCTGAGCAGGGACTTCTTCATCGTTCTTCGTGTCCCCATCCCCTTCGCCCTCTCTGCTCGTCCTCCTCCCCTCGTCGTCGTCTGCTCCCTGAGGTGCCTGCGGCTGGCATATCGCTAGAGGAAGCGAGGCGGCGGTGCATTCCCGAGTCCAATCTGTTCCGGCCATCGGCCAAAACAGAGCCATCGCCCTCTCGCTGCAGACGCCGCCAGTCTCGTACCAGTGTTGCCACTGTCCTTGGGTGCTTGCCTGCTCCTGGGCCAGTTCGTGTAGCAGAGGTCGTCTTCGCTTCTCGGTCGGCCTCGTCGGCAGCTTCCTTCTCACCGCCGTAACCCTGCCCGTCCGCACCATCGTATCTTTCTCCTGGTCATTACACCGCCCTCCTCGCCCTGCGACACGTGCTCCGTCTATGCTCAATCCCCTTCGTCATCGCAGCCACATCCCTTCTTTTCTCTGCACGCTTGCAGTCGTGTTGTGGCAGTGCGCGCTCTTGTGGGCAAGCAGCATTCCAGTGCGAATCCAGCAACGCGGCCTGCTTCTGCTTGCGCCCTCCTATCGGGGAAGGATTAGGCGGATGCCTGAAAGGAGAATGAACGAAGGTCGTCGAGAGACGATGAGGCAGGGTGATTGCTGATGAAACATGAGGAGGAGGAGGAGGAGGAGGAGGAGGAGGAGGAGGAGGAGGAGGAGGAGAGGAGAGGAGGAGGAGGAGGGGGTGGAGGTTGACGACGGGTGAAGGGGAAGAGGGGGCTAATACAGACCACGTGGGGGATAGTGGGTTTGAGCGGGTGTCGGGGGGAGGCGGAGGGAAGATTGAAGCGGAGAAGGTAACACCAATTGTGGGAGGAGTAGGAGGAGGAGGTTGGAGGAGGAGGAGGAGGAGGAGGAGGAGAAGCTGGAGGAGGAGGAGGTTGGAGGAGGAGTCCGCTGTATGCCACACGCAAGTTGAAACGCTAGCTATTATTTTGCACGTTGTGCTACCTGCATCTGGGCGGCGGGGTCACCAAATACTAACCATATCAGGGGAGAGAGGGTTGTTGGGACCTGGTGACCGTCCCAGAGAGCGATGTCAGACCACACCACGGACACCCTTTGCTTGCCCGACAAACCCCAGGGGAGCTATGCTCCATTATCTTCTGATCTGGGCTTGCCGCTGACGCTCGAGCCTAAGAATTGGATTCATCCATATGCTTCCCAGTTTGTCTCTTCCAAGCCTACTTGCTCTCCTCCTTCAGTTTCACCGTCCCTCCCTCTTCTCTCCTTGGCGCAACTTCTCCCGAGAAGGGGACCAGCAGGAGAAGAATTTGAGAGGAGGACGTGGCGGCGGGGGGAGGCAGGAGGGAGTAGCAGGGAGGAGGAAGAGGAGGAACAGGGATCAGAGATGACGAGGAGGAGGAAGCAGGCTTTTTCATGACGGCATCGATGCCATCAGCGAGCGAGCGAGTAGGTGGATGAGATGTAGGAGCATGATGATGGAGATGACTGGAGGGACGAGGAAGGAGTCAGCCGTCGGAGGAGGAGGAAGTAACGAGGCGCGGCAGGGGAGTACAACCAGAACAAGCAGGGTTGAGCGAGGTGTCGAAAAGCAGGAGGTCTTCTCTATAGCCCCCCCCAGGATCTAACAGGTGGGGGTGGGTGAATGGATTTCCCCCCTCTTCCAGCCAGCAGGCAAGATGCGAGAGTATGACGAGGACGAGCCACGAGCCCACGCAGCCCCCCTCCGGGGCGACGAGGACGAGCACGGGGGGGAGGGAAGGGGGGCGGCGACGAGGAAGAGGACGGCGACGAAGGCTAGGCCGCCGCGGCGACGAGCACGAGCACGGGGGGAGGGAAATGGGACGGCGACGACGACGACGACGAGGGGGCGATGCCGAGGACGAGGGCGGCGACGAAGACGAGGGGCGGCGACGAGGACGAGGTCGAGGACCGCGGCGCTGCCCGCAGGCGTCGGCGCCTGCGGCCGCGCCCGGCGGCGGCGGGGCGGCTCCTCCCGCCTGGCTTCCCTTGGGGCTGACGGGTGTGCATCGGGTGGCACCAACTGCAGTCGGGCCGCTGAAGAAGGAACCCTTTTCGTTGGGGAGGGGCTCAGCGTTCCTTAATCTTGTCTGGTGATGTTCTTCGGTGTTCCTCAGCTTCCCTTCGGGAAGCCGACGTTTGACTCATGGCAGAAAGGCGTCGCTCCTTTCGCGTAGGGCCTTCTTTACGTCATCGCTTCGACTGTACACGCCCACTCCGATCCCGGCCAGGCCGTTCCAGGCCGGTGCATATGCCTTCCTGCTCCAGCCACGAGGGCATGCGCACCGATTCTGACCCCAAGTCGAGCCTGGCCAGTCTCGGGGTAGGTGTACAGCTGGTGCCCTCCTATGTGCAGGGGGGAGGGGGGATGGGTGGACTGGGCGAGAAGGGGCGGTGATGGGTCGAGAGAGCGCAAGCACGGGTCTAGGTGAGTGCATCAGGGAGGGGAGGGTCGGCCCCATCCCATGACGGGCGTGTCGGGGGGGCCGGCAACCCGCAACGTCGAGATCCGCGCCAGTCCCGTTGCGACTACACTCAGGAGGGACAGAAACACACAGACACAATTAATCGTCGACTCCCAGGAAAATACGGGGAAATATGGGGAAATGGGGGGGGAGACAAAAAACCGGAAAATTATCCCGGCAAAGCAACCTAACAGCGATGATTAGAAGCATATCTGAAAGCATTCCCCTTAAGATTCAGATGAAAATCCAGTTGTAGAATTCTGCTGTTCTCGCAGTCGTAGTCGCATTCGCGATGACAGTCGCAGCGGCAACAGGCAGCCTCAGCCTCAGCCTCAGCCTCAGCCTCAGCCTCAGCCTGCCTCAGCCTCAGCTCTCAGCCTGCCTTCAGCCTCGGCCTCAGCCTCAGCCTCAGCCTCAGCCTGCATCAGCCTCAGCCTCAGCCTCAGCCTGCCTCAGCATCAGCCTGCCTCAGCCTCAGCCTCAGCCTGCCTCAGCCTCAGCCTCAGCCTGCTTCAGCCTCAGCCTCAGTCTGCCTTCAGCCTCGGCCTCAGCCTCAGCCTGCCTCAGCCTCAGCCTGCCTCGGCCGCAGCATCAGCCTGCCTCAGCATTCAAAATGTGGCCCAGGAATGGAGTTCTGGGAACTAGAAGAACACGAAGTGGCCTACAGTTGGCTCCGGGCATTCAAAATCATGCCCAGGAATGGAGTTCTGGGAACTTGAAGAGCACGAAGTGGCCTACAGTTGGCTCCGGGCATCCAAAATGTGGCCCGGGAATGGAGTTCTGGGAAATCGAAGAGCACGAAGTGGCCTACAGTTGGCTCCGGGCATCCAAAATGTGGCCCGGGAATGGAGTTCTGGGAAGTCGAAGAGCACGATACAGTTGGCTCCGGGCATCCAAAATGTGGCCCGGGAATGGAGTTCTGGGAGCGCCAAGAACGATTTTGCGAGGATGTCCCAAGCGAGTTGGGCTTCGGCGGCACCGCCCCGGGTCCCGCCCCGACCCCCCTGTGGAGTCATCTCCTGCTCTTTTGAGACCACTAGAAACCTATCAGCAAAAGCTGTTAGGTCATATTGGAAAATATAAAGGATCCTGTTATTTGTGTGTATTTACTCGTGTGTCCCAGGGCCCCTCCATACACGTAAGATGATTTTTCGGTGGAGTGACCTTTGGTTCGGGCACCATGGTGCCCCCCGATCGTCGACCGCGAAGCGGTAGGAGCGTCTTGCGCGCTCGTGTTTGGTCCCCCCGCGGCCTTCAAAAAGCCGCGCACCAACGGCCACGCTTACTCCAGATCTCGTAATAAAGGGAGGGGGGTCTCATT